CAGTTCCTCAAAAAGGGAAACATAGAGGTACCATCTGCCCAGCTAGTTCTACGCCCAAGACATGAGTCAGACACGGGCTCACGTAAAAACCTGCTCACAAATGCTCAGAGCAGCACTGTTCACAATTGCCATAAAATAGAAATAGCTCGAGTGCCCATCAGCAGATGAATGGACATACAGTATGTGATATGTGGCCATACAAGAGAATATTACTCGGCCATATAAAGGAATACAGTACTGATGCATGCTAAACTTGGAGGAAGCTCAACAATACTGTGCTAATGGGAAGTAGCCAATCACAGAAGCCCAGATACTGTACGACTCCATTTCTACGAAATGCCCAGAATAGGCAAATCCATGGAGAAGGAAAGTAGATTGGCAATGGCTGGGTAAAGCTTAGGGGGCACTAGCTGGTGTCAGCCTGCTTCAGACCAAAGAATCCTGGGTTTGACTCCAGTTAAGGGCACGTAGCTCGGTTGCAGGCTCCTTCCTGGCCTCGGCCCTGGTCTGGGAGCGTGCAGGAGGCAACCAATCGATGTGTTTCTTACACATCGATGTTTCCCTCTGTCTTTCCCTCTTTCCCTAAAAATCAATAAAAAATATCTTCAGGTGAGGACTAAAAAACAAACAAAAAGAAAGCTTAGGGGAAGGGGGTACAAAAATTATCTAACATTAGATTATGGTGATGGCTTGTACAACTCTTTAAACATTTTCAACATACTAAAAACAGCTCATTGTGCACTTTTAGTGGGAGAACTGTATGGTATGGAATTACATTTGTTTTATTAAAAAAATGACAGGTGCCGAAACCGGTTTGGCTCAGTGGTAGAGTGTCGGTCTGCGGACTGAAAGGTCCCAGGTTCGATTCCGGTCAGGGGCACATCCCCGGTAGGGGGTGTGCAAGAAGCAGCTGGTCGATGTTTCTCTCTCATCGACATTTCTAGCTCTCTATCTCTCTCCCTTCCTCTCTGTAAAAAATCAATAAAATATATTTAAAAAAAAAAATGACAGGTACCCCATAAGTGTTGCTGAATGTCAAAGGTTATTCCTTCTCCCTTTTACTCACTCTTTCCCAGATGCCTAAGGGCTCCAACTTTTCCCATCCAGGCCCAACTTGGGTATAGGCCAGTGCTTATAATCGATCCTCCTCGGGGTAAGGGACCTCCTGGGATAATGGCTACTCCCTCCAGAAGCAGCTTGCTGTTTTCAGGCCTCTGGAGGAAAGAGGGCAGAGGTTCGACTGTGTGTGTGTGTGTTTGTTTTTAAATGCCTCTATGGCCCTGAGGAGTGGGCTGAGGGTCTCAGGCACAGACGACAGGGACATCTGTAGTCCTGCCGTGACTTCCCCTGTGGACCTCTCATGGGCTGTGAGATGACGGTGGGGAATGGTGAGTTTGTTTCTCTAACAGCCCACGTTCTGCAAACCCTACTCCTTCCCCGGGAGGCAGTGAGGCAAAGCCACGGCTTCCTCTTCAGGTTCAGCGCAGCTGTGGGGCCTGGCGGGGTTGTTTCAAGGTGCAAGGTCTGCAAGAACAGTTTGTGGTCTGCTAAATGGCATTTATATTTATTGCCCACGTCAGGGAAAGCCAATTTTAAAACCCTACAACGCTTTCACGGACTGGGGACACAAAGGCAGAAGTCAGGGAGGCGAATCCTCTTCCATTCCCATTGCCTCCTACATTCCCACTAAGCTTCAGGGTATGAGAATCCAATACCCACAAGGAATGAGTGCCCTTTTCCCTAGTGTAGGGGTGTCGAACTCAATCAGAGAAGGGGCCAAAATCTAAAATCCAGCCTAAATCGCGGGCCGAATGGTTTACTGAACAGTCATAAACTGTCATTGTGATGGAAACGCAGCAGAGTGCAGTGATGACAGCGCGGTGCGGGCCACATTGCAAGGCCTGGCGGGACGGATTTGGCCCGCAGGCCTTGTGTTAGACACATGTGCCCTAGTGGATCCACATTTAGGAATGAATACACCCTAAGGGGATAAACAAAGGTAAGAAGAATAACCTAGAACAGAATAACCTAACTGTCCAATAGAAACAGAATGGGAGCCACATACGGATTTTAAACTTTTTTGTAGCCACATTTAAACAGGTAGGAAGAGCCCTGGCTGGTGCGGGCCAATTGGTTGGGTGTCTTCCTAGGTACCGAAAGTTGACGCTTCAATTCCCAATCAGGGCACATGCCCAGGTTGTGGGTCCGATCCCTAGAGGGGAGTATGCAAGAGGCAACCAATCAATGACTCTGTGTCATCATTCATGTTTCTCTCTCCCTTCTTCTTTTCTTTTCTTTTTTTTTTTTAAATATATTTTATTGATTTTCTACAGAGAGGAGGAGAGAGGGATAAAGAGCTAGAAACATCGATGAGAGAGAAACATCAACCAGCTGCCTCTTGCACACCCCCTACCGGGAATGTGCCCGCAACTGATGTACATGCCCTTGACCAGAATCGAACCTGGGACCTTTCAGTCCGTAGACCAACGCTCTACCACTGAGCCAAACCGGTTTCGGCTCTCCCTTCTTCTTTCTAAAATCAACAAGCATGTCCTTCGGTGAGGATTTTTAAAAAATACAGTACCCCCAGTACATTTGAGATGAATAATGAATAATCTTTTTTAGCATAAGTATATTCCATGTAATGCATAGGATATACTTATATTAGAAATTTTATTTGTTGTTTATCTGAAAATCATATTTAAATGGGCATCTTTTAAAAATATATATTTCTATTGATTTCAGAGAAGAAAGGAGAGGGAGATAGAAACATCAATGATGCAAGAGAACCACCAATCGGCTGCCTCCTGCAGGCCACCCACTGGGGATCAAGCCGGCAACTCAGGCATGTGCCCTTGGCCAGAATCGAACCAGGGACCCTTTAGTCCGCAGGCCAACACTCTACTCAATGAGTCAAATCAGTGGTCAGCAAACTCATTAGTCAACAGAGCCAAATATCAACAGTACAACGATTGAAATTTCTTTTGAGAGCCACATTTTTAAAACTTAAATGCCTTCTAACGCCACTTCTTCAAAATAAACTCGCCCAGGCCGTGGAATTTGTGGAAGAGCCACACTCATGGGGCCAAAGAGCCGCATGTGGCTCAGGAGCTGCAGTTTGCCGACCACTGGGCTAGAGCTAAATAGGCATCTTTTTAAAAAATCTGGCAACCGTAATTTCAATAAGCAATCACATGAAAAATAAATTAATGAGATATTTTGCACTGTCCTTTTTTTGGGATAAACCATTAAAATCTGTGGTGTATTTACCCTTACTGGTACAGCACTGCTCACCGTATTTCGAGTGCTCAACAGTCACATACAGCTTAATAGCTACCATTTAGGAAAGCGCAGATCTAGAATGTTACTCTCAGTGATTTATAGAAGGGCAAAAAAAATTTTTTTAAATAAATCAGAAATTAGCAAAATACCCATCAAGGAGAAAGTTGCTAAAGTTACAACTAATATTTGGAGAGCCCTAACCATCGGTAGGTCAGTCCTTGTCCTAAGGACTTTGTGTGCATCACCTCATTTAGTCCTCACCGCAACCATTCAGACTATATGGTGTAACCCTTTTTTACAAATAAGGAAGGTAAGGATCTGGGAGGTTATATAACTTGCTCAAGAAAGTAGTGGAGCCAAAACCGGTTTGGCTCAGTGGATAGAGTGTCGGCCTGAGGACTGAAAGGTCCCAGGTTCAATTCCGGCCACGGGCATATACCTTGGTTGTGGGCACATCCTCAGTAGGGGCTGTGCAAGAGGCAGCTGATTGATGTTTCTCTCTCATTGATGTTTTATATATATATATATATATATATATATATATATATATATATATATATATATAGTAGTGGAGCTGAGTGCAGACAGACTGATGGTAGATGGATGGATACATATGAATCCCAGCCCAACACAGCCTTCAGGAGTCACACCCAAACCTGACTGGTTTCCTCTGGATGGCGGACGTCGAGGTGGGGACTAAATAAGACAAGGGAGGTAGAGGATGAGGCAGAGCAACCTGCTACCCAAAACTTCTAGAGATGTCTCTAGTGTTTTTCCAGTGTCTTTTTTTCTTTTTCTTTCTCTTTTTTAAAATATATTTTATTGATTTTTACAGAGAGGAAGGGAAAGGGATAGAGAGTTAGAAACATCAATGAGAAACATCCATCAGCTGCCTCCTACGCACCCTCCACTGGGGATGTGCCCGCAACCAAGGTACATGCTTTTGACCGGAATCGAACCTGGGACCCCTCAGTCCACAGGCCGAAGCTCTATCCACTGAGCCAAACCACTTATGGTTCTTTTTCTTTAATCCTCACCCAAGGATATTTTCCCATTGATTTTTAGAGAGTGGAATGGAGTGGGAGAGACAGAGGGAAAGAAACATCGACGTGAGAGACACATGGATTGGTTGCCTCCCGCACTTGCCCCTACCGGAGCTGGCCTAGATCAAGCCTGCAGACCAAGTACATGCCTTTGACCAGAATTGAACCCAAGACTCTTTAGTGCGTGGACGGATGCTCAATGCACTGAGCTAAACCGGCTAGAGCTCTTCCCAGTATCTTTATCCTTGGCTATTTGGTTAGACTTTTTTACAGTAAGCATCCATCCATTTCACAAAAAGAAAAAAAGTCACTTTCAAAAGATGAGAAAACTGCACGAAGCAGCTGGAAGAAAAGAAAGCAGAGGTGAAGGCGGGGAGGGGGAGGGAGAGAGAGAAAGAAAAAAGGGAAGAAGAAAACTGACGGCAGGGAAAGGTGAGGCACCACTTGGCCCCAGTTTCCTGAGTGACCACCAGGAGGCACTGCCTGCAGTTCTCTCGCCAGGGAGAAGGATCTCTTTCGAAAACCAAACACGGGCAAAGGAACAAATCACTACAACCATCTTACCTGGAGTGCCCTCTCCCAGGAATCCCCCCTGAAAACGTCAACATTCACCACACAGATGTGAAAGGCCGTGGACGTGGTCCCCCAGCGCCCGGCGCCCTGCGTCTTTCTTACCTTTGGAGTCTTCTTCGGCCAGGTGACCACGGGGACCCCGGTGATGGCCAGACTGGGGTCGTCGTCAGCATGCTCCTTCAGGACATTCTGTAGACAAACACAGAAGCCGTATTAGCCCAGGGTAGGGGGGGGGGGGACTTCTGCGGGGCAGCTGGAGGCCAGACCTAAGCCAGTTAGAAGCACCCCGGGAGCTCTGCACAAAGCCCACCACCACCCCACCACCCACACGCTCAGGAGAAACTCAGTCCACGCCACTAACGTGTGAATGCCACTTGTCAATGTCCTGGTTCACTGCTGTCTCCTCAAAGCCTCACACAATGACTAGCCTATAGTAAGCGTCCAGTAAACAACTGAAAATAAATACACAAAGCCACAAGTTCCCCAAAGAGGGACTTTCTACAAAATGCCTGACCAACAAGCCTCAAGTCTGTCCAAGTCAATAAAAACAGGGGAAGTCTGAGAACGGTCACAGCCAAGAGGAGCCTAAGGAGACAGAAGAGGAGACGTAGGATGGTGTCCTGGGCAGAATCCCGAACCCATAAAGGCCAGAGGTAAAAACCGAGGAGATGTGAACAAATTAGAGACCTCAGTTATAACAGTGTATCAACACTGGCTCATTAATTATAACAAATGCACTGTAAGATGTTAACAACAGGGGGACCTGGGTATGTGCAAAGGTATATGGAAACTGTACTATCTGCTGAATTTTTCTATAAATCTAAAACATAAAGTTGATTGGTAGAAAATAGTTTTTAAAATGCCTATTAGATAGTAACAGTTACAATAAAGTGAAATAGAATGTGTAGGGTACCAATTTCTCTACCATGTACATATTTATTTTTTAAAATATATTTTACTGATTTTTTACAGAGAGGAAGGGAGAGGGATAGAGAGCTAGAAACATCTATGAGAGAGAAACATCGATCAGCTGCCTCCTGCACACCTCCTACTGGGGATGTGCCCGCAACCAAGGCATAGTCCACAGGCCAACGCTCTATCCACTGAGCCAGACCGGTCAAGGCAAGATTAGGGATTCTTAACCTGGGGTCCAGGAGCAGGCTCAGGTGTCCAAGACCCCCTGACATTGCATGCAAAATTTTGTGTGTATAAGTAGATTTTCCTAAAAATCTCAAGAGAGGCCAGCAACCTCTAAAAAAGTCAAGAGTCAATGAAAAAAACCATTAGCAAGGAAAGATTTGCTTTACAGAAATACTCACCATAGAGTTCTCTTACTCGACAATTTCCCTGAGTTATAAAACTTGAATGTCACAACACCTGTAGATGTACCTGCTCTATCAACGTGAAATGTACCTGGATTAGTGATTCCGTACACTGGCCTCCTCTGCTGGTGGTATCTGTCAGACTCCCTGATGTGGGCCCCACATCTCACTTCTGCTAGACCCCTGGTCACTGAGCACCGAGGGGAGGACAGTCTTAATATTTCTATATCCCACAGCTTCACACAATGTGTCCTCAATGAATAACTGAACTAACTAACAAACCCTGGGCAGAGTTTGCAGACATCAAAAAAGAGACTTAAATTCCGTTTCAAATCCCAGCAGGCAGCTGGATTTTCTTGGGAATCAGACATTGGAGAAGGAAGCAAAGCTAAGGGAGTTCCCGGAGTATGCCCACACAGGAGTTCTGGAGGCATTCCCGCCTCCTCACCCTGCTCTGTCACCTCAGCATGTCCCTTAACGTTTCTGAAACTACTTCCTCATCCTGTAAGGGCAGATGGTAAGGGCAACTACCACTTGCCCAGCCCTGGTACCTGACAAGGAGTAAGCTTTCCACAAACGTTAGGATTATGAGGACAACAGGACAAGGCTGCCCAGCGCATTTCCTTTTTCGTAAACACCTGGTCGTCAGCACTCTGCCTCTTGCAGCCCTCCCCATCAAGAGGACTCCTATGCATCCTCAAAGCCCAGCTCAAATGCCCTCTGCATAACTGTCCCAGAGCCCTGACCAGCTCCCATGCTCTAGGTTAGGGGTGTCGAACTCAATCAGAGAAGGGGCCAAAATCTAAAATGCAGCCTAAATCGCGGGCCGAATGGTTTACTGAACAGTCATAAACTGTCATTGTGATGGAAACGCAGCGGAGTGCAGTGATGACAGCGCGGTGCGGGCCACATTGCAAGGCCTGGCGGGACGGATTTGGCCCGCGGGCCTTGTGTTTGACACATGTGCTCTAGGTAAACACAACATGCTCAGTGGCACTTCATTCTCTGTCTCCTGATTTCTATTTAATATATATTCTATTGATTATTTACAGAGAGGAAGGGAGAGGGATAGAGTTAGAAACATCGATGAGAGAGATACATCGATCAGCTGCCTCCTGCACACCCCCCACTGGGGATGTGCCTGCAATCAAGGTACATGCTCTTGACCAGAATCAAACCTGGGACCCTTCAGTCTGCAGGCCAACGCTCTATCCACCGAGCCAAACCAGCCAGGGATGTCTCCTGGTTTCTTTACCTGCCTGCTTTCCTGCTAAACAGTGAATCACCCAAGGTCAGTGACTATGACCCTCTTCTTTCTGTTCCCAATGGGTAGCACAGCTCAATGAAAGCTGGATCAATAGTCAGGCTTTAGTTGGAGAAGTCTGGACCCCGGGTGGCCATGTGGCCCACATCAGCTGGCCACCTTGAGGCGAGCCAGGATGTACAACCTGCTCATGGGAAAGGGATGCGTGTTCCAGAGGAAGCCAACCCAGAACACACAAGTCTCCCCGAGCAGGATGGCGGATCCGTCCCCAAAACCAACACGTGATGCACCCATCGGGACTACTGTTGGCAAACCCTCACATGTCAACAAGTACAAGAAAGAACTCACTGTCAACCACCAAGCCATCTTCCTCCAGATTCCCATAGATCCCCATGGTGGCCTCCACTGGGCCACTTGGGTGAGCCTCCTCGGACCAGAGGCCCCTCTCTAGGCATGGGTGTGCCCCGAGAAGGTCTGCTCCCAGCCAGCCTGGGCTGAGTTGCCCTCCAAGACCTATGTTTTGCTTTTGTTTTTTGTTTTATTTTTTTAATATATTTTATTGATTTTCTTACAGAGAGGAAGAGAGAGGGATAGAGAGCTAGAAACATCGATGAGAGAGAATCATCGATCAGCACACCCCGTACCGGGGATGTGCCCGCAACCAAGGTACATGCCCTTGACCGGAATCGAACCCGGGACCCTTCAGTCCGCAGGCCGACGCTCTATCCACTGAGCCAAACCGGTTTCGGCAAGACCTATGTCTTGAACAGAACCTTCCAAGCCCTCGCCTCCACAGCCCCCGACGTGGCTCCCTGCCCACCTTCACGCCCTCCAGGAGGGCCTGGGGGTCCTCGATGCCCTCGGGGACGCACTTCTTGTGTTCCGGGAGGGACTCCAGTTTCTCCACCAGCGCTTTCAAGCCCTTCAGCTCAAACTCGGTGAGGTGGGTCCACTTGGCAGAGACCTCGGTGGTGGGCGAGCCCGTGGGCGCCCTCGGGTGGTCTGCGGGCATCGTCGCGGACTTGACGCTCTCCTCGGACTCATTAGACAGAGTCCTCCGGAGGAACCGCAGGGCAGGTGCTTTAGGCTTCTTCCCGGGGGGCTCCTGGTCCTCAGAGGGGATGCTGGTGGGTGAGGCAGGGCCATCGGCAGGTGGCTGGGGCACCTTCTCTGCACCTTCTTCTTCCTCCTCTTCCTCCTCCTCCTCCTCCTCCTTCTCCTCCTCCTGGAGCTGCTGCTCACAAGACTCCTCCTCCATTTCCGGCCAGGAATCGGATGAGAAGCCGTCTATGCTGGGCTTTCTTGGGGCATCTACAGGGGAGGGGGGGGGGGTGAAGGGATCACAAAGGAAGACTGAGATGAACACCCTAGGTTCAATGCTGAAAGTCATGTGACCCCCAATCCCTTGCCTCCCCTCCCCCTTACCCCCTTTAACCTGGAGATCGAGCTTTTCTGAAGAGTTCTAACAGTCTACGCCTCCCTCACTTCTAGAAAGGTTGGGGTCAGTCAGACACAGGCTCAAATACCAGCTCAGCTACCTCCAGTCATGTGCACCCACACAAGATGCTTCACCTCTCTGGTATTTTATTTTATTTTTTACCACATCTTTTTTTTTTTTAATATATTTTATTGATTTTTTTATAGAGAGGAAGAGAGAGGGATAGAGAGTTAGAAAGATGGATGAGAGAGAGTCATCAATGAGCTGCCTCTCGCACACTCCCCTACTGGGGATGTGCCTGCAACCAAGGTACATGCCTTGACCAGAATTGAACCCGGGACCTTTCAGTCCGCAGGCTGACACTCTATCCACTGAGCCAAACTGGTTTTGGCTGGCATTTTATTTTTTTAACATATAAAAATAACATAAAAGAGCATATATGATGTAGGTTCCCATTCATTGGAATGTCCAGACAGTGGGAAAATTCATACATGAGGCCCAGTGCATGAATTCGTGCATGGGTGGGGTCCGGCCAGCCTGGCCAGGGGGAGGGGACATGGGCGGTTGGCCGGCCTGCCTGCCGGTCGAAGGGACAATTTGCATATTAGCCTTTATGATATAGAATTATACAGGATAAACACTGAGGTCCTCCAAAGGTCTGTTGTGAGGATTAAGTAAGGCCTCACAGAGCACGTCTCCTGGCACACAGCTGGCATTTGATCAATGAGGTGTGTCTCCCTAACACCCCCTCTTCTCCTTGGTTGAGGGACTGGAGAGGCGGGGGAAACCGTGGCAAGAAAATTTAAGAAAAAAAGTGGGCACCGATGACCCCAAACTCTGGCTCAAGATTGCCTCTCAGAATCAGGAATGTTCTTCTCCGACCCTCATGCGACTCTCACTCCCTGGCCAGGGAGTGCCACCAAAATCCAGCCTCTGGTTCCCGCACACCAGCTCTCACGCTATTTCAAAATCATTTCCATCTCCGGCCCGGCTGGAGACTCGAGAGAGAGAGGGTTGCAGGGTTTGGGCATTTTTCACACCTGAATATGGTATCATCTGACAGGAACGTAACTCAAAACAGACCCCCACCCCACCCCCACTCCCGACAAAACTGAGTTTTCAGAAGGCAAAGGAGCACTTGCCAATAAAACCCCGGCAGAAACATGTTCCCGATCCTATGCCCACCTGAAACCCACCCCCAAGGGCACTAAGGATGGGAGTCAAGGGAAGGAAGGAGGTTTGATGACGGAGGAAAAAAGAACCTAAAAATCCTGGAGACAGCAGGAGCAATCATGCGGCCCCATCGCATTTTTCTTTCCCGTGGTGAGAAAGATGCAGTCACCAATCAGCATGGATTCTCTCTGGTATTCCTGAGTGAGGTAGGACCTCTAGGTCACACAGTACACGGAGGCACAGAGGATCCGCATCCAATAAAACTCTGCAGCAGCAGAGACCAGTTTGGCTCAGTGGATAGAGCGTCAGCCTGCGGACTGAAAGGTCACAGGTTTGATTCCGGTCAAGGGCATGTACCTTGGTTGCGGGCACATCCCCAGTAGGGGGTGTGCAGGAGGCAGCTGATCAATGATTCTCCCTCATCGATGTTTCTAACTCTCTAGACCTCTCGCTTCCTCTCTGTAAAAAATCAATAAAATATATTAAAACAAAAACAAAACCTCTGCAGCAGTGACAGCTCAAAGGCAAAGGGGAAAGAGCAGGCTGTCATAGCTAGGTGCAGCTTTGGGGCAGGCATCTGTGAGTCAGGATACAAGGACTGAGTATTTTTTTTGAGGGGGGTCTCTTTAAGGAACAGCAGCGGGGCACGGCACTACAGCTGCTGCTGAGAACCACCCACTGTTCCGCCAGGCTTGTGCTTCCAGTCCTGGTCACCCGTCCGTCCCGCTGGCTCAAAGCCGGCCCGGGATTTGGGGGACTGGCTGCATCTCATGGGCCTGCTCTCATGTAGACAAAAACCCAGCCCCCGGGGCACAGGGAGTCGGACAGTCAGGTGGTAGCTACTGAGGATTAAAAGGTACAGGGATGCTTAGTTCCTCGGGGATCTGGCTTCGGCAGCCACGCCCAGGACTGGCCCCGTCCCACATCGGCACAGTCACCAGCCGACCTGGAGGCCATCCATGGGACTCGGCTGGGGTCGTAATTTCATGGACGCGGCATTCCAGGTGGGAATCTGACCAGGATGGCTTCCCAGCCGAGGTGTCTCTGAGGAATCTGCCCGACACTCTGGCTCAAGAGATTTTCCCGGAACCCAAAGACTCTCAAGGGCCCCCCCACCCAAAAAAAAAAATGGTTTCTGGCCCAGCCAGAGCGGTCAAGGCGGTTGGCCCCGTGGTCCACTCACCAATCAGCATGGATTCTCTCTGGTATTCCTGAGTGAGGTAAGACCTCTGGGTCACACAGTACACGTATCTCTCCAAGACATACCAGCACATCTCATAGTAGAAGGGGTAGCGGAATTTGGACTGCACCTGGGAACAAAGACCGGGAGGGGGGGGAGTGGAGGTCAGTTTCTGGAGGGCAAGGGGAAAAGGAGGGAGAGAATTGAGGGGGTGAGGGCTCCTAGGGGGGCGAGTTTTTAATTTTCATCATCATGATAGCAAGAGCACAAATGGTGTGAGGAAAACATGGGGAGGCGCTGGATGGAGGAAGGTCCCGGCAGCATGCACGAATGAGAGGGACGAGGGGAGGAAAAGGCCTGGGCGTGAGCATTGCAAGGTTCCTCGAGCTGCGCGCCCCCGGATGGATGGGGTCGGCTTTGTGCTTTGTGCGTTGGCAAACAGAATTGTCCCCTGACCTGCTGAGGAGGGTGCGGGCGCCCACAAATGCGAGCCGCTGCCTGACTCCAGCTACAACAGAAACGGGCTCCTGTCATTCTTCTTTTAATCTTTTTTATCTTGCGCAGACTCTGCTATCCCACCCTCCCCTGAAAACCAGAAGTCAATGCCCAAACCTCACCCAAGTCCATGTGCAGACAGGCTACCTATCAAGCAGCTCCTGCACTCGAGGAAATGCCACACCAGGAGGACCAATGAGGATGGAGGGGTGTGGCCCCTGGGGGCAGGGCCCACCTCCTGCTCCTTCACCTTCATCACCACCACCACCACCACCACCACCACCACCAGCACCTGCATTCCCAGGCAACTCCCTTGGACACAAGTTCCTGGACACACCCCAGGTCTGGAGCAGGAATTTAGACAAGAGATCCCTTTTTGGCCGTTTCTTATAGGGGCCGAAGGACAGGTGGTGACAGCTTTGTGTATCAGAACTATGAAAAGGCCTGGAACCCAGGGGCATGCCGATGGGTGGTAGCACGCAGCGTCTATATGGGTGAGATTGCAGCGAAAGACGGGAAGCAAGCAATGCCACAGATGAACCTTGCGGAAACTGCATTCTGAGTGGGCGAGGGAGGACTGCTTTGTTTTTCTCCGGGAGAAAAACAAAAATTTTAAGATACTTCCACCCATTCTCCTGTTTTAGCTTTTCAAATCCTGAGGCCTGGGAGTTCTCAATGCCCTGAAATACCTGTGGGACCTGACCTCCTGCGACTCTACTATAAGAGGAAGGGCTGGGGCCCGCAGGTGACAACGGCCCTCCAGGGAAGCAAGCAATACCACAGATGAACCTTCCGGAAACTGCATCCTGAGCGGGCGAGGGAGGACTCACAGTGTGGGAGGGTGGTCCCTCTCCCATCTCTGGGTGCTCTTCCCCAGGCTGTACACAGACCCTGCACGTCCACACTCACTGCTGACCTGCCTGCCTGCCCTCTCACCAAGGGTGTGTCCGCCCCAAGAGACCTCTCCACCTCTTCGGCCCAGGGAGCTGGATGTTAATTAAGCCGAGTGTACTCTCCTAACGTTCTCTGCTGACAATCAGCGGGCCACATCCTCCGTGTGGGACAAAAACCAGGCCCACCACATGCCCTTCAACACCACGTTCCTGCCTCTCTCACAGTGCCCGCTGGGAAGGGCCCCAGCCCAGCTCTCAGCTCCTCATCCAGGCCCCGCGGGTTCAGTTTCCAGACGCAAGGCCCTTTTCCCATATTTGGGGCCTCACCTCTCCCATCTGTGTATTGGGTCCATTTGACCTCCCTGCCTCTGGTGGATGGTAAGCTTTGGAATGAGATTCTGGCTGCCGCATGCTTTTGAGCTCCTGGGTGGAGGGGTGAGGGGGGATGCATGGCGTTGGGAACATCATCTAGCGGTTTCCTTGGCTCCAGCTACTTTCCCAAGAGGCCGGTTTTATTGCTGGAATAGTATGCAGCTAATGACTTTTTTTCCAGTCACCAGATCAGAGTCCTCGGGAGTTTAAAAAGGAGAGAGGCCCTCCCGCCTGAGGCAGTTCCTGACCTCCTGGGAAGCAGGATTTGGGCGTCTCAGCCCCACCCGGACTCCAGAACAAAGGCCAACCGATTTGGAAACAAATTGCCAATTCCTAGAGCGGAGGACAGACTGGCCCTCCTCTCCCCAGACCCTCACTCACATCTCCTGATTTTAGACTCCTTCGGTAAAACTCCTAAGGTGCTTTTTCTTTTCAAATTTGGGGAGATCACCTGAGCCATTCTGCATTAACGGGCACCATGGCACCAGAGAATCTTTGTAGTTTGGGGGTGGGGGGGGTGTTTTTTTTTTATTGTATGTCAGCAGAGGAAGGTAAGACTCCCCTCATTGTTGCTGAGCCCAAGAGAAACCAGCTGGGTGGTGGAAACAAATGCTGATGAAGAAATAAAATTCTTTTCATTTTGTTTCCTTCCTTTCTTTCTTTCTTTCTTTTCTTTTTTTTTTTTTTCCTCCAAGAGAGCACCACAGGAAACAAAATTGGCAAAGAATTGACTTACAAACGGGTTGTCGCCTTCCACCCTTCGCCTTCAAAAGGTTCCAGCCACATGCCTGGGAACATTAAACACACGATTGCTCAACATTAATTGCTGACAAAAATCGGCGCCTCGTCCAGTTGAGCTGTTCACCAAAAGGCAAGGCGGCCGGTCAGAAAGCACAAGATGCTCCCTGCCTGCGGGGTCGCCCAGGTGTTGGCGGGCCTCCAGGGGCAGGTCTGAGGTCCCAGAGGCCCAGTGGAGTGTCACCAGGCCCCAGCCCTTCCTCTCACAGCGGAGTGACCACAGGAGGTCAGGTCCACAGGTATTTCAGGGCATCGAGAACTCCCAGGCCTCAGGATTTGTAAAGCTAAAACAGGAGGGTAGGTGCCAGTATCTTAAAAATTTTGTTTTTCTCCTGGGGAAAAAAAAAAAAAAAAAAGGCAAGGGGGGGGGGGGGAGAGGGAGAAACCCAATGGTAGGAGAAAGGTGAGAGGAAGGGTAAATTATTGGTAATTTCCAAAGAGATTCACTGGCTGAGAGGAATTGGGGCATGCGGGTATTACCTTTCCTGAGAAGGCTGCTTTCACTAGAATCATTAGGGGAAAGAAAAAAAAAAAAAGGTAAATAAAGGAGAGATGGCAGTTTAAGGATCGTTGGGACCATCCCTACTGGGGTTAAAAATACGTAGTGCTCCTTGGTGTTGAGATGTTATCTTCAAATAATAAACATGCAACCCATCCATTCTTTGGTGTCTTTCCACCCCTCTGCATGTTTTTAGAAGGAGAGGAGGAAGATCTATTCTCCAAAGGGGGCAAGAAATGGAAGCCCAGCCGAAACCGGTTTGGCTCAGTGGATAGAGCGTCGGCCTGCGGACTGAAGGGTCCTGGGTTCAATTCTGGTCAGGGGCATGTATCTTGGTTGCGGGCGCATCCCCAGTGGGTGGTGTGCAGGAGGCAGCTGATCGATGATTCTCTCTCATTGATGTTTCTAGCTTTCTGTCACTCTCTCTTTCTCTCTGTGAAAAAGCAATAAAATATATTCAAAAAAAAAAAAAAAAGAAAGAAAGAAATGGAAGCCCACCAGTCTCAGACACCTGTCTGTGCTTGTCTTCGGGGCCCCAGGTAAAACCTATCATCCAGCCCAGAAAAAATTTAAATTGTGAGAGCAAGTCACGGCTCCTTAGAGGAGAATCATGAGGTTCCCCTGGTCGGGTTGGGAGGGGAGGGGTCCCCCACCCAGGGCCACAGAAGGCAAATTCTTTTTCTAAGACAAACATCGTGAGGCTCGGAGACGGACCATGTCCTGTGTCCCCGCCCCCCTATATTTGGTTTCCAAGCAAAGCCATGTTTTAGGGCTCCTGAAAACTATTTTTAAATGGCCGCGACCTCCTTCAGCAGCTCCCAGTGACAGAGAGAATGAAGCTGTAGCGAGCTGACAAGGAGCCCTGGCACTTTTCCTGGGATCCCGAGCTCTCTCCCCAGCATCCTTTGTCTCCCTTCGCTCCGAAGACGTGAACAATGGGGCCTCGTCGACAAGCCCTCACCAAGGACCAGAAATCAAAGCAGACGGAACAGCTTGCCCACCAGCCCCGCCGCCGCTGCCCATCAACCCGTGTGGAGGAAGCCAGATGGGTACCCACTCACGTGACAGGGATGGCGGGCCCTGGGGGCAAGGACCCTGCCACGCTCATCTGGAAGTGGGTGTGATATCCCACAGGCACTCAGGGTTCAGCTCCATTATCCTTCCCCCACCCCCAACCTCCTGCCGAGTAAGGGGGGGGGGGGGAGGGGGGACCTGGGCTCCCCAGGGGATGACAAGGCCCAAATCCAGGGGCTGAAGCTTTTAGAAATCCGAGCCTGGGAAGTCATGAGCCTGACTTCTCGTTCTAGATTTTTCCCTTTCCACCCCACACTTCCTAGTCTGCGCACCAACAAGCTGGCCCATTCTTCGGAACCAGTCCAAGAATAGTTGGCCAGAGCTCCCCAGACAGCACTTGGTTCAGATCCTGAGATGACCACTCGCACCCAAATGGAGGCTTTACCACAGAAGGACAACCTCCAGCCCAGCGCTGGGCTGGGCTGGCCACCCCCAGACCCAATAAGGGGTGTTGGGCAGGCAGCAGAGAAGAAAGGCAGATCTGGGCCTCCCAGGCAGCAAACCTCCTGTCTGAAGATGCGTCCTCTTCTTTTTTTTCTTTTTTCTTTTTTAATATATTTTATTGATTTTTTACAGAGAGGAAGGGGGAGGGATAGAGAGTTAGAAACATTGATGAGAGAAATATCGATCAGCTGCTTCCTGCGCACCCCCCACTGGGGATGTGCCTACAACCAAGGTACATGCCCTTGACCGAAATCAAAACCGGGACTTTCAGTCTGCAGGCCGACGCTCTATCCACTGAGCCAAACCGGTTAGGGAACGTCCTCTCCTTTTTGTGCACCTGGCCACTACCGGTGGCTAACGAGATCCCTGGGAAACCTCTGCATGGGGTCCCTCAATGTCAGGGACTAAAAAGGTCAGATACACAGACAGTGGCTAAACCTTCCACTCATCTATGCGATTCCATGCAGATCGAGGTCAGAAAGCAAGTCAGAGAGAGAAAGGAATCCTGGGCCCATACCTCCTGCCTCTATAACATGTTTCTTTAGGTTTCACGCATCTTTGGGGCAAAAAAGTCATCTCTGTGGCAAAGCCAGGAAGACATCGCATGTATGGTCCGTCCCTCCAGGGGCGTATTATTCAACCGTGAAAAGGAATCGAGCGCTGACACAATATCGCTGAAGCTTCTAGTCACCACGCTGAGTGAGAGAAGCCAGATGCAAAAGGCCACACCATTATGATTCCATTTATACAGAATGTCCAGAACCGGCGAATCCACAGAGACAGAAAGCAGATTAGCGATTGCCAGAGGCTGGGGGAGGGGGAACAGGGAGCTACTGCTCATGGGGACTGGGCTTCTTTTGGGGGTGATGAATGTCCTGGAACTAGACGCTGGTGATGGCTGCATAATCTTATGAATGTGCGAAATGCCACTGAACTGTGCACTTTAAATGGTGAAATTTAAATGTGAATTCTCTCAGTAAAGAACAGAAGAGAAATAGCTGAATAACTATAGTAATAATTTTTTTTAAAAGACCAAAAATGAGCCCTTTTTGCCCCCGTTTCCCACCCTCGGACCTGTTTCAAATGCTTGAGGACACTTGGTCAAGTTCCGGCACAGGAAAGAGAGCGCCCGCCAGGCCCTGGGGAGGTGGGGGTTGGAGAGATGGGGGGAGGTGGGGGTTGGAGAGATGGGGGAGGTGGGGGTTGGAGAAATGGGGGGGAAGTGGGGGTTGGAGAGATGGGGGGAGGAGGTGGGGGTTGGAGAGATGGGGGGGAGGTGGGGGTTGGAGAGATGGGGGGGAGGTGGGGGTTGGAGAGTTGGGGGGGGAGGTGGGGTTGGGGATAAAAGGAATCCATATCTGAGACACCATCACCATCACTATCAAAGGGAGTTAGGGATCCCCCTCCCCCAGTGGATACTGAGACAGATCTCAGAGGCAGCATCTGGGGGAATCACAGACACTGGCTTCCTCAGGCTCCACATCACATGTGGGGCTCCCTGCAAACCACATCAACCACCACCATGAAATCCCCCCGCTCCCTCCGATCCCTTCTCCACGTGAGGCGGCGGCGTTGGCAGGCCGCCTGACATGTCACGGTGCTTTCTCAAGAGACACTTCCCCTTAGGCAGGGGGGTTTTGGCTGCCACCAGTTTGGAGGTGAACAGAAACTCCCAGGGCTCCGAGAGAGGCTCCTGTGGGCACCCACCACCCCAAAGAACCAGGACCGAGGCCCGGGGGGAGGCAGGGAGCAGGAGGGAAGAGGCACTGTGGAGGCTTCAGAATGACTTGTCCACACCACATCCTCATTCATCTTGGCAGAGCTCAGGGGCGGGGCACGCCCACCCAGAGAGAAGGAAGCCACCTTACCCGTGTTCTGTCCTCGATCTCATAAATCCGCAGCTGCATGGGCACGTTAAAGCTATGCAGGATGTTTCCGCCGAACACCAGAGAGTCTACCGGGGTGTAGACTGCATGGATCCAGCCTGGGGGTGGGGGGAAGAGAAGGTCAGTCGCCAGGCCCACCTGTGGCAGTGTGTAGACGGGCCCAGGTGAGCTCCCAGGGTGAAGATGAAGGATGCTCAGGCCTGCCTGATGCAGACAGCCGGACTCAGGCCTGCCGCCAGCTGGACCACGGCGGACAGTGACGCTGGCTAGCTCAGGTTGGGTGGGAGGCAGCTGTAGGCCAGCCCCCACCTGCTGAGGACCTTGATGACAAAGGCTTCCTCCTGCTGATTCGGACCTGGCTGCAGCAGCCAACAGAGACGCAGGCCCTCCCCCATGCTCAGATGTCCTTGAGCCTCTTCCTGGACATCCCAGGGGCCGCCAGTCTCAGGTGGGGTCGCCAAGGATTGCTCGGGGCCACAACTAAGAAGTGACATCTAGCCAGGGTGGCAGGACCCAGACCCTTTTCTCTGCCCGATCCCACCTTCTGCCATCAAAACCCTCGAAGGCCCAGAGCTCCTAGCCCAAAGCCTGGCTCAGTAAACAGGAAATGCTAACTGAGTGCTTCCCTGGACCAGGCACCATCTAAGGGCCTAATAGGGTTGAACTCATTTAATTCCCGCAAAATCTCAAAAAAGTATATATATTATATTCACCCCCAATCTACAGATGAGAAGACTGAGGCAGAGAAAAGAAAAGTCACGCCCTGACCGGTTTGGCTCAGTGGATAGAGCATCAGCCTATAGACTCAAGGGTCCCAGGTTCGATTCCGGTCAAGGGCATGTACCTTGGTTGCGGGTACATCCCCAGTAGGGGGTGTGCAGGAGGCAGTAGAACGATGTTTCTCTCTCATCGATGTTTCTAATTCTCTATCCCTCTCCCTTCCTCTCTGTAAAAAAAAAAAAAAAAAAAAAATCAATTAAAAAATATATATATTTTTTAAAAAGTCATTTATCATGACTGGAACCCAGGGAGTCAGCCTCCCCTCAGTCCATAGAGGCCAGGGACAAAGCAGGCCCCCAAATTCCGTCAGCGACTCTCGGGCTGGCCAGATTTCACCGTGCTCGCTGCGCCACCCCGTGGCTCCTGGCTACCGCCAGGCACAGCACAGGGCTGGGGGAGAGGTCACACATGACCCACTCCCATGTAGGGATGCTGAGACCGAGGCTGAGAGAAAATGCTGAGTCGGAGGCTGAGAGAAGCTAAGTCGCTTGCTGAATGAAGACACAGCCGGGAAGTGACAGCGCCTCCGCTCCCTAACAGCGCCGCTGCGCTGTCACTGCATCAAAGGCTCAGCTCAGGCCTGCGGGTCCTGGAGACAGGCCTGCGAATGCAGGGGGAGATGGGCGCAGAGGAACAAGACACTCGGGCCCTGAGGACAGGCAGAGTCGGAGAGTCACAGTGAAAGGCACAGGATGAGCGGAGGGGACAGGCGACAGGCAGGGGCAAGCCAGGATCCCCAGCCAGGTGCTGCGTAGGCTGCTCCAGCCTCTTCGCTCCTCCTGAGCAAACACACGCCAGTCCCGGCTGCCCAGGCAAAGGTGCCCTGGGAGGAGAGTGGTACAGGCCATGGATGGCAGCGGATGGCAGCGGGACAGAGCTGGCAGTCACGGCGGGGAGGAGGGGAGAGAGCAGGAAAAGGCTGCCTGCCACAGATGCAGGAACGAAGGCTTTTATGTCACCTGCTTGTGCCGTTAGCTCCCTGCCTCTCTGGCTCTGGGGAGGCAGAGAGAGCAGCTCTGCCTGCTGGTGTGCCCATGTCAGCCACCTGGGTCTCTGTCCCCTCCCCCTCCACCTCCTCACTGTGAGCGGATGCCTCCAAAGTCTCAGGGTCCCCATCTGCTCCAGCCTCTCCGCCTCAGCTGTGCACCACCTGATTTTCTCCACATTGGCCTGTTTCTCCCAAGCGGAGCTACGCTCTTACCACTGCCGCTGTTACCATCATTGGTATTATCCTACCACTGGGCCTGGGACCACGGGGTTTCTGTGGATGCCCGTGGTGGGGTGAAGCCTGCTCAGGCACAAAGATCTCTGGGTCCTGTTCCTATGCGCCAGGTGTACCCACTTACTGCCTTACAGGAAGGCCAGGTCTGGGGGCCTGAGTGAGAGACTGTCCCCAGTGCCGACTCCTCCTGTGACACAGGGCACCTGACTGCCCCTCTCTCGGCCACCACCTCCCACATGGGCACCTTGGTGAGCAAGAACTCACTCCAGATGAAACTGGTTTGGCTCAGTGGATAGAGCATCGGCCTGTAAAAAAGTCAATAAAAATTTAAGAAAAGAACTCATTCCATGTGAGCCGCTGAGGCCGATGTCCGTGGGGCCTTGGCCCCTGCAGGGCTCGGAGAGCACGGTGCCCACGTGAATGGCACCGAGCAGCCCCCGCCCCTCCCTGCTCTCCTGGCAGGTGGCATTGTAGACACACCTGACTTACATCTGTTACTCTCGTGTGTGAGCACAGAGGGGACCCTGTGCTCCCAGTACTGCTCCCGTTCGAGCAGGTAAAGGCTTCCACCTGCTCTTTGTTCCTCCCCAAGCCAGGCCTCAAAGGGGGGCCAGGCAGCCTCCCCTGGATTGGCGTCACTGCCGAGTGCTGCCACGCGTTGGCTTCGTTACTTAGACCAGTGGTCGGCAAACCGCGGCTGGCGAGCCACATGCAGCTCTTTGGCCCCATGAGTGTGACTCTTCCACAAAATACCATGTGTCCTAATTAAGTTAACAACGATGTACCTACCTATACAGTTTAAGGTTTTTTTGTGTGTGTGTGTGTGTTTTTTAATATATTTTATTGATTCTTTTACAGAGAGGAAGGGAGAGAGATAGAGAGCTAGAAACGTCGATGAGAGAGAAACATCGACCAGCTGCCTCCTGCACACTCCCTACTGGGGATGTGCCCGCAACCAACGTACATGCCCTTGACCGGAATCAAACCCAGGACCTTTCAGGCCGCAGACCGACGCTCTACCGCTGAGCCAAACCGGTTTGGGCTATAGTTTAAGTTTTTTAGAAATTGGCTCTCAGAAGAAATATCAATCGTTGTACTGTTGACATCTGGCTCTGTTGACTCATGAGTTTGCCGACCACTGACTTAAATGATCACCTCCAGAAGAATCAGCGAGGGCACTCATTGTCCCTGAGCCCCATCCATACCCACCCTCTCTGTGGGGTCTCTTTGGCCGCCCCCCAGGAAGCAGGAGAGCGCAGGTGCCCCTGGCTGATGACTGGGCCGGGGACGCTGGCATCTACCTCGTGCTCCCAGGCCAGAGTCACCGACAACATAAAGGCAATAAGAGGCTATTCAGGCCACGCGACAAGGGACAGAGCCAGCTCTCGGAAGGAGAGCAGGCGGCCCACAAAAACCTACTGACACAGGTGTTCTCTGGGACCTGAGGGCCCCAAGGAGGACCACGGGGACCCATGGAGTCTCGCCTGCAAGTGAGATGCTCAGAATTCAGAGTCCAAAGGCTGCCCCCGACACACACTGGTCTGTCTTCGTGGCTGCTGCAGGGGTGAAGCCCAAGGCCAGAGGACTCAGGGCACCTCACAGAGGCCCACTGCTTCTCTCCCCTGCATCGACCTGCCTCCATGCTGAGCCAGGTCTGTGTGTGCCAGGATCGAGCAGGAGGGGCCTCAATGCTGTGGGATCCGGTAGCTGGAAGGCCACGGGTGGCATCAGCACTCAGGGGAGTATTTAGTTTGACACCCGCCCCTCCCCCGCACCCCCACTCCTACCACAAGTTACAAAAATGGGGAAAATCCACAGGACAATCTGAATTGCTTCCTTCCTAAGAAACAATGAAAAGATGGGCCCTTTGGGCCCCATTCCCACCTGACCCCACCTAGTTGGAGCTGAGCAGCAATTGCCCAGTTTCCACCGCCTCACCTCTCTCTGCCTCACTTCCAGCCCGCTTCACTGCCCTGTACCCATTTTACAGATGGATCATCCGAAGTCCAAGCCAACTTATGCTAATAAGCAGCTGCTGGTTACAGTTTCTCAGACTTAACCAGAGTCTAAGAAACATCTGGAGCCACCATGAATTTGGGGCCTTGGTTAGTTCTTACTATAGAGCAAGAATGGGAAGTACTTTCAGGCCAGCCCAAGTCACTGACCCCAGCATCCTTCTGAGGTCCTTGGTACGAGGCTCCACCACCCCGGCTAGGCATTCTCTCACGACAGAGAAAATCTCACATCCTCCCCAGCACCTTCTGGACTGCCAAGTGGACCCTTAAGAAAGTCCGTTAGCCCTAGCCGGTTTGGCTCAGTGGATAGAGCACTGGCCTTTGGACTCAAGGGTTCCAGGTTCGATTCCGGTCAAGGGCACATGCCCAGGTTTCGGGCTCAATCCCCGGTAGGGGGAGTGCAGGAGGCAGCCTATCAATGCTTATCATTGAGGTTTCTATCTCTCCCTTCCTCTTTGAAATCAATAAAAACATATATATATAAAAAGAAAATAAACTTTAAAAAAATCTGTTAAATGAGCAAATAATTCTCCCAAAGTCATACAGCTGAGAAGGGGGGCTACGTCTCAAATCTGCTGACGTCTAGGCAAAGGGGGAACCAGGTGGGCTCTGAAAGGACACACACCTGGCCTGTCTGTCACTTATTAACTGCGTGACCTTGGCCTCGTTTGTTCACTTTTCCGGACCTCAGGAACGTTCTTTATTTAAAAAAAAAAAAAAAGGGGGGGGGTGCATGAGATATTTTTTCTTACCTGCTTGCAGAGATGATAAAATATAAAATATTTGTTGCTCAGCAATACCAGTTATTATTACTATTAACTGTAGTTCACCTGGGCCGGTGCAGCCAGAGGGGAAGACCACGTCCCTAGATGAAGATGGTGTAAATTTCCACAAACTCAACACGACCCAATGTAAAGTGCTGTCCTTGATTCCGAAATTATGTACTTTCAACATTTATAGTGTCAGAATAGTCTTCCTTTCATGAAATACCAGCAAAAATAGATTCCAGGCTCTTGTTTTGTTTTGTTTTTTGTTTTTTTTGTTTTTGTTTTTTAACTAATGTCCACCTTTAGCAAAATCACAAGTTAGTTCCAAAACTGGTTTGGCTCAGTGGATAGAGCGTCAGCCCATGGACTGAAAAGTCCCGGGTTCGATTCTGGTCAAGGGCATGGACCTTGGTTGTGGGCACATCCCCAGTAGGGGGTGTGCAGGAGGCAGCTGATTGATGTTTCTAACTCTCTATCTCTCTCACTTCCTCTCTGTAAAAAATCCATAAAATATTTTTTTTAAAAACAAAAAAACTACAAGTTAGTAAGCTTTTTTCCCCTCCTTGTTGGTCCATGAAGTCAACCCCATGTGCCCCATCTGAGAACATGGCAAATCCCAACTGTCCCTTCAGTAACAGGGAACTCACTACCTCGCAGGACCAGTCATCCCAATGCCATGTGGCTTTACCTCTCCACCCGGGAAACAATCCTTCAGTTGGCTGACTGCATTATCAGACCTTCACTTCCCTGGGTAAGACAACCCAATTCCTGCCAGCTTCAGACTCATCTCATCTGGTGTGGTGCCCACACTGCTCTCTCTCCAGGTCAACTTACCTCATCAAAGAAGGACACAACCTCCCATATGTGGCCTGACGCCCTCGCTCCAAGTGGTGGGGTTGTCACCACCCTCATCCTGGGTAAAATTCTTCCATTAACGCAGCCTAAGAGCGTACTCCAGTCCTAAACGGTTTGGCTCAGTGGATAGAGCACCAGCCCTCGGACTGAAAAGTCCTAGGTTCAATTCCGGTCAAGGGCATGTACCTTGGTTGCTGGCACATCCCCAGTAGGAGGTGTGCAGGAGGCAGCTGATCGATGTTTCTAACTCTCTATCCCTCTCTCTTCCTCTCTATAAAAAATCAATAAAATATGTTTAAAAAAAAGAGCGTACTCCCTGACTCCTAGGTCATCTGCCACATCCACCAGTGACTCAGACTAGAACTGGCCAGAAGCCCTCAGTCCATCGCCAACATGCTGTAGGCAAGTAGGCCTTCACTCACTCAGTCCTCACAACCACTGGGGAAAATCTCATTCCCATTACACAGATAAGAACACTAAGCCGCAGAGAGGTTAAGTCACCTCGCTGAAGTCACAGCCTGTAAGCAGCAGAGCCGGAATTTGAAGTAAGGCCATACAGTCTGGTTCCGGAGCTAATGCTCTTAATTGCTACCCTCTGCCGTAGCGGTGGCATTAATTCTGGTTTTGTGGGGCGGGGGGGGGGGGGGGGGGGGGGGGGTCCTAAGGGTGAGAGCTGCCACTGATTCCGTCTTATCTCGTTCTTCGGGAAGGAGGCTGCCACTCTGACCCAGGGCCTGCCTCAATGACCCAGGGTCTTGTCCCTTCCCAGGGCAAACCTCAGAGTCCTCAGGGTAACACCTGCCCGCCCACCCCCTCCACCACTAACCCCTCCACAGGACCATGCAATCACCCAGAAACCTCCCTGCTGCAAGTCCTGAGGGAGGGCCCTAAGCCTTGCCCCGGGAGAGAATTCTGGCCCGGAGGCAGAGAGATACAGGTAAGATACGAGAGGAAAATGGGCCCCTGCAGCCCAAAGGCTCTCCTCTCAGGGACTGCCCATGGTCGGGAGGCCCAGAGAAACACGGTCGCTCGGCCGGAAAACTCTGGCGGAAGCCACAGGGACACGGGGGAACACACGAGCTCAGCGCCGGCCTCACTGGAACCTACCGGAAGGGATGAAAAACGTGTAGCCCTGTTTCAGCTCGATTCTCTGGCAGCGCTCCACGCGGTCTCCCAGGAAGATGTCACTCTGTTTGCCCGACAGCACCCACTCCTCGTACAGCGCCAAGTTGTGCAGGGTCGGAGGGATCAGCCAGAAGATCTTGGGAGGGAAAGGAGGCAGTCAGCTGAAATACAGGCCGAGAGTCTCTGGTTCCCTCCAGGCACAAGGCGACAGCACCACCTGCCTGGGGGGGCGGGGGGGGGGGGGGGGAGACACACCATCCCCAGGGGTCCCTCCAGACCCAGGCCCCAAGGGTCTCTGGGGTGAAGGGAGGGCTGAGCCATCCTTCAGGGCTGTCCTTTACACGCCTTTAGGGAGTCCCTGTTCCAGAACAGGGTGTTGACCAGGGCGGGAAGGCCTCCTGGATTCCGTGGGACATTCTTTCTCAGGAAGGTGGGGGAGGGAGAAGGAGAGCCATTTCCGAAGGTGTATGCTAAAGCAGCCCAATAAATAAACCCAGCTGAGGCTCACTCGGGAGGAGGAGGGAAAACTTCTGGAGCCAAGCGGGATGACATCCTGGCCAGAATTTCTCCGTGTTCTCCAGGGAGCGCCTGGGTCCCCGGAGGGACGCCTCCGGCCCCGCGCGGACGCGCCCAGAAGCAAACTCAGCAGGAGCATCCTGGGCGCAGGCAGGCCCCGCACGGCCTCTCTCTGGGTGACGTCTGTCCCTGATGTAAGACCTTCTTGGAAGCAAGCGGGTGATGCTGGCAACTGGACTTTTACGTTAAAAGGTCGCAACCCTGGAGCTGAGGGAAACGAACGCTGAGGGTTCTCGGGAGCCGAAATCTGGAGCTCCGATCTGGCCTAACGTTATGAGAGCACCATTCTGGGTGAACAAGTATGAACCCGTGACCGGATGTGGTACAAAAGGGGTGACCTTGACCTTTCCTGCCAGAAGACAAGAGTAAGGAGGAGGCCCCAGGGGGACCAAGAGGCCCTGAGAGCTCTCCCAGAGCAGGGACTGGTGGAGGCGGGGGCGGGAGGGAAGCGAGCCCTGTACTGCAAACAGCAGAAGATGTGCACAGAGCTGGAGAGATTCGACTCGACTCACCTTCCCACCCCGGAAAACATGGTACCACACGGAAGTGCCTCCAAAGTCGATGTGGAAGTCAGTGAAACAGCCTTTCACGCTCATCAGACAGTACCTGCAGCGCAGATGCAGGGGGGGGGGGGGAGCAGAAAACACAAGTCAACTGCCTGAATCACAGGAGGCGAGAAGACAGCTTTCCGAGACCTCTGACCTGAGCCCTTTTATAAACGCTGACACTGGGGAATTTCCTCCGCTTTCTTTTTCTTTCTTTTTTTTTTTTTAACCCAAATTGAATCGGAGTTCCCCCCTGGGGGAAGCCCCTGTAATCAGGTGACCAATCTCAAGCATTGGCCATCTGCTCCCCGAGGCTGGGGGGGGGGCACTTTTGTTTTCAGGTTCCCACAAGAGAGCTGGCTGGCAACACACGTGGGTCCTTCCTCACAGGTTTCTGCTCTGGCCTCTCCCCCGAGCTCCTGCCCACGTAAGAGTCCTCCTTTCTGCTCCTTAGAAACTCCTCGATCCGGAGCAAGCACGCCCGCCCGCCCGCCCGCCCGCCCGCCCGCCCGCCAGCCCCCTCCGCAGCAGCTGGGCGCCCTGGCGTTTGGTTGTAAACCACCTGCGTGGTGTGCCAATTACCAGTCCCCATTCATCTCCACATTCTTTCAACAACCATTTACTGAAGAGCCAACCAGCGCTGCAGCCCGGAGCCAGGCGTGGCGCTCAGGGTAATAATGCAAAAGACCCCTGCCCTTAAGGACGGGCCACTCTGGGAGAACGTTAACTGGGGAGACGGACGGCGGCCACGGACTGCGGGGTACGCAAAGCAGCTACACGTTCGGGGGGGGGGGGGCGGCCGCCAAAGACCACCCTGCGGATGATTCCACGTGGATGACATGTCCGGAGGAGGCAAACCCACAGAGACGAGAGTACATCAGTCGTGGCCCGGGGCTGGGTGTGACTGCCAAAGGGCACAGGGTTCCACTGGGGATGATAAAAAACGTTGCAAAATTGATTGTGGTTGCACAATTCCGTAAACATCCCTAAAAACCACTGGATTGTACCCTTTAAATGGATGAATGGTATGTGAATTATATCTCCAGAAAGCAGCTAAAAAAAAAAGGGTAAAGGGATTCAGAGAAGACCCTGGGGTGGACAGGCAGAGGGGGAGGGACAGAGGGAGTGTCTGGGCTTTAGAAGCTGGGGTTGGGGGCGTGCCTTCTGAGGCCCCCTCCTGAGCCCTTCCTTACGGGAACTCCCCCGTCCCCTCCCTCCTCCCGGAATGTGCTGCCCTCCGAGAGGGAGGCAGTGCTTACGGAGGAGGAGGGAGAGCGGAGCGGGCTTCCAACCCCAGACCTGGCGGGCAGGGGTGCCAGGGGCGCCTCCCTCCCATCCACCCCTTCCCTCAAGAGCCACTGGCGGCAGGGTCAGGGCAGCCTCCCCAGGGCTCACGCTCACGCATCTGGAGGCACCTCCAGGGCCCACTGACCTCTTTTCCCCGGAGCACTTAGTAGCTTTTCCGCCGTTTGGGGAAGAGGGGAGGGACGGGGCCAGGATGGGCAGGGAGGAGGAGCCAGCATGTAGCTGAGAGGAGATAATAAAGGGTGGGGCTGAGCTGGGTTGGGAGGCAGTAGGGCTCCTAGGGCCCCCCTCCCTCTGGCTGCCTTGGGCACCTCACATTCAGGTGTACCCGGGCTCGGGGCTGGCAGTCTGCAGGCAGCGTGCCGCGTCCCTCATCGGGATAGGCTGGAAGGAGCCTCAAGCATGTGTCTGCGGGAGGCTGGCAAATCAGAAGGCCTTCCCCGCACATCAGAGCCCCGCTGCCTAGCAACCCCATCGGAGGGGTGTAGTGGACAGCACAGGACGCAGCCCTGTCGGGAAGACAGGCGCCGGGGCTGGTCAAGTCCCAGCTGGGGACTCCGGCTCCACACCCTGCCCAGCCCCAGCCATGTCCCCACTCAGAAGGCCTGGGCGATCGAACTCTCCCCAAGGAACTGGGGGAGGTGGGTATCTAGAGCCCTAACCCCCCTGCCACACAACAACTCACACACACACACTCACACACACACACACACACTACCCTATGGACCACACCAGCCTCTTTTCTCTAAGCACCGCTTCAAAATATCAGTCCTCAAGCTCCTAAAACCACCTCTTCCTCTCGGCTTTTTTCTCTTTTCTTCTTTTAAACGAACCTTGGTTTCCACCCCCTCCAAGCCAGCCTCAGCAGAGCAGTCTGAGGAAAAACAATCTAAGTGTCTATGGGTGGAACAAGATACACTTCCTTCAGTCTGCAGCTGGCTACCCATCCAGGTGCCCGCATGGCAGAGGGCAGGACAGCAAGCAGCTTGGTTCGTGGGCTCCAGACACCAGGCCTACCTGGCCAAACTGGCCACCCCACCCCACCCACCTCCCTCCTGCAGCCTCAGCCTGGCCAGCAAGCACCTGAGCAGACAGAATGAATGCCTGCGAGCTGCAGCTGCTGCTGTGTGTGCAGCGAAACTTCTCCAAGTTGAGTGTGTGCCTGCCCTGCCCTCCTTGCCACCCTTCCACATCCTCCGAGGCCCCGGGAGCCTGGGGACACCACTTCCCAGGCCGCCTGTCCTGCAGAGGCTCCTCCTCCCACGTCCCTCGTTTCCTGGCCGCCAGGCCGGGGCGCCCCTCCCGCCCCTCCATCGCTGGCATTAGGGCGTCCAGGGCAGGATGGCTGTGACAGGGCGGCTTTGTCCGGGCTGTGCAGCCGCCACGCTGCCTCCCTCCCACCTCCCCGCGCTCACGCCGGGTCTCCCCCTTCTCCACCGTCCCCCCCCCCCCCCACTCCTGCTCTCGCCCGCTCTGGCGTGACGTCTTTGCACTGACCTCTGCAGCTTCCTCTTGCAAAGCACACCGCAGTCACATGGGCACCCCGGCTCGGTGCCACGGCGGCGGCTAAGCTCTCCTCCCTGCGGCCGGCCAGCCAGCCTGGCTTCCGCCCGGGCCGCCCCCTGCCTGGAGAGCCGCGCCCCTGGACACCCCAACCCCTGGCCCCCCCAAACCCCTAGCCCAGGGTCCTCTGTGCCACGGGCACCCCGCGTTAGGGGCTGAGCATCAGGAGCCCCCGGAGCTGAGCCTCTCCGGGGTCCCCGCCTCCCGGGGCTGGCCAGGGAGGAGCTTGGCGGAGGGGGCGCTGCACCTGCCGCACCAACTTCAGGGTGCTGTCCGGGGTCTGCGGAGGCGGGGCGGCCTCGGCCCGCCCGTCTCCCTCCAACTTCTCCGAACTGCCCCGGCCGCCCCGGGACACGTCCCCTCGGGCAATGGGCTGGAGAGCGACCTGGGAAGCTGGCCCCGGCGGCGGCGGCGGGAGACACAAAGGGCCGCTCCGCGACGCCACCCACCCCGCCCGGCGCGCCTCGGAGGAAGGAGCGGGGCGCCCGGGCAGCCCCTCGCCGGCTGGCGGGGAGCGGCGGCGGCGGGGACGCCCGCCCGGCCCCGCCCGGCCCCGCCCGGCGCGCCCGCGGTTACCCTCGGCGGCGGCGGCGCGGCTCCCGGGCGGGCGTCCCCTTCGGCGGCGCCGGCTCGACGCGCGCCCGGCCCGGCCCGGCCCGGCCCCGGCCCCGGCGGCGAGCAGAACCAGCCCCTTCCCCGGCGCCGCCAGGCACCCACCGCGGACCCTGGCGCCCCCACTCGCTCGCTTCCTTCCTTCCTCGGGAAGCCCTGCGCGGGCTGCGCTCATCCTCGCTGACACCGGGCCCGGCGCGGCGCCGCTGCCGCCGGGGAGGGAGGGAGGGAGGCCGCGGCGGGGACAGCGGAGCGCGGGCCGGCGCCAGGGGACGCCGCCGCCGCCCCGGCCGCCCCCTCGCCCAGCCGCAGGGTGGGAGCGCGCGGGTAGCTCTACCCACCCGCGTTCTAGGGGAACCCCCGCACCCCCGTGTGCAGGGAGCGTGGACCCCGGTCCTGGTGTCGGAGGTGCCCACCCAGCAAACCCACTTTCCTTAAACGAGCCTAAGCGGAGACATGGTCAGTGCTGGGCGTGGGAAGGGTGTCAGATCCAGGCTATGGCAGTCCAGAGACTAGGGATTCGTCTCTGGCTCTGTTAGGCCAAGCTGTGTGACCTTGGACAACTCACTTCCCCTCTCTGAGCCATTTCCTCCTCCTAATGGCAGGGAGGTGACCTGAGGTTCAACTCTGCATGCTAAGATGCTTTTTAAAAAATATATATATATTTTTTTTTTATTGATTTTTTACAGAGAGAAAGGGAGAGGGACAGAGAGCTAGAAACGTCAATGAGAGAGAAACATCGATCAGCTTCCTCCTGCACACCCTCTACTGGGGATGTGCCCGCAACCAAGGTACATGCCTTTGATGGGTATCGAACCTGGGACCTTTCAGTCCGCAGACCACCACTCTTTATCCACTGAGCTAAACGGGTTTCGGCCTAAGATGCTTTTTTGCTGCCCTTCCCCCTACCTTAGTAGCTCTATAACCCTACACCATTAAAAGTATTGTGGGGATTCACTGAGATAAATACTGTTAACACACACCTGGCACGCTGATACTTTGATTTAATACAATTCTCACCCAGCCCGCTGAGGTCACTCCCAGGACTGTCCCCACTTAACAGATGAGAAAGCAGAGGCTCAGAGGTAGTAGCTCACCCTGGTCACTACCCTAGTGGTTGGCGGTGCTCGTCCAAAGAGCCTGACGTGGAGTTTCTCAGTCCTTCTCCCCAGGTCTCTCAAGAAGCCCAAGCAAGGCTCTCAAGAAGCTGACTCTGCAGTTACAGCTAAACCTCCACCACGGACTTCCTGCTGAAGGAGCTGGTCCAGCTCCAATCACAAGTCCCAGCCTCGAGGGCAAGCTCATCAGGGCCACAGCCCTCCTCCCATCCTGTCCCCACACCTTCCCCCCAAGCCCTTACCAGGGGGGCAGGTGACCATTGGCTACACTCTGTACAGGAGCAGAAACCAAGCTTCTCCAAGCAAGTTTCTCTGACCAAACTCCATCCACTGGGGCTACCCACCAATATTCGTTATCAAGTGCTAATTCACTCCCCAATATTAATTACCAAGCCCAATGATCAAGTACTGTTATTAGCTATTTACATGCATGATCTCCTTTCACCCTTAAAACCACCCCATAACCCCCATTTTAGGAAAGCAAAACATCTGAAGTCATTTCAACGTGGCCAATGCCAAAGTGGCTTCCTGGTGTTGCCCATGGGGTGGCCTGCCAAGAGGTTAGACTGTGAACTCCTGGAACTGGCTGAACTTTTCATCACAGGTATGTTTTGCCTATGTAGAAGACAAAACCAATCATTATGAGAACTGTCCCCCACCTTGAGCAGTCACTGAGTGGGCGTCCTTGAGCAAGGGCTTTGCCACACACAAAACAGAGGTGGAGTTAAAGAAACCGCCCACGTGGGAGAATTACTATCACGTTTTACTTCATAAATGCCTCAGCTCCTGGATGGCAGGAACCATGTCAGACTCATCTGTGTACACGCAGCAAAAGGCAAAAGGCCTGGGATTGGTTATTCTAATCAGCTTTGTGACATTGGACTCAATCTTTCCCCCTTCGGGAGCTGGGCATCCCCCTTTGTTGAACTAGTCAGGGGACCTCTAGTGGCCCTCATGGGTCAAATCAGGTCCTAGAGTCTGACCCGGGTGGCTCAGTTGGTTGAGAGTTGTCCTGTGAATTGAAAAAGCAGATGCTGGCGCTCCCAGATAAAAGGAAAAAGAAAAAAAAAGGAAAGAAAAGCAGAGGGTGTACCAAAAGGTTGCCAGTTTGATCCCTGGTCAGTCACATGCCTGGGTATCAGGTTCAATCCCCAAGTAAGGCAGGTACAAAAGGCAACAGATCAATGTTTCTCTCTATCTCTCTTTCCCCTTCCTCTTTCTAAAATCAATAAGAAACATATCCTTGCTTGAGAATTCACTCTTATTTTTAAAGCCCTATGCAAATGTGAGGGAGAGATGGAAAAGCAGAAGATGCAGGAATTCCAATGGCCACTGGAGCCCTGGGTGCTACTGGAGGCCACATGCATTAGCATCTTGTCCCATCCACGTTTCGCATCCACTGCAGGCTCAGTCTTCCCCACGGTGGGGGCTGGGGGCAGGGGCTAGAGGATCCCCACTTCACAGGGGAGAAAACTGAGTCTCTAAGAGAAGACCAAAGACTAGCCATGGTCATCCGAATGGCAGAGGCAGCCCCTGAAACTGGCTTATCCTGTACCCATTTTTATCCTCTCTTTCAGGTGTGCACCCCCAAATTTCCCCAGTTCTTCCCGCCACCCCAGAAAGGACATGGGAGAAAAATGCAGTCAACTCTCAATTATTCAGGATCCCATTTTGCTGGACTTTTAGTCTACAGCATATCTCCATTACTCCAGCAAACCTCATTTTTGCCAGTCCTGTGTGTTCCGAAGCAGGTTACGAAGGAAGAGACTTGCTCATTTCCTTCTGGAATGTGTTATAATATTTAGAAGTCTAAAGTGAAAAGTGATTTTCAACCACTGTGCCACCAGTGGTACACTGGTGTGTGGCAAAAGTTTTTAAAACATGCAATACCTGACCTCTTTTCCCTTAGACTGTCAGATGAATAAAAAATGACAACACCCAACACAACAATAGCCATCTGGTGTGAATGAATCAAAATTATACCTTTTTTTTTTTGTCAGATCAGTGAAAAATACACTTTTTGCTGTGTCTCAGAATTTTAGTAATTAGTTTATTTGTGCCGCGTGATGAAAAAAAGGTTGAAAATCACTGACCTAGGACATGGTGGAGTCTTTAAAACATGCCCACAAATCCTTTGATACGCCTCCCTTTCGGAGGCAGAGCATAGTCCCCTTTCCTTGAATGTCGGCCAGATGTGGTGACGCACTTTTAATTAACAATAAAAGTTGCAGAAGTAAACAGTATGCAACTTCTAAAATTAGGCCTCACAAGGCGCTCCCGCTCTCTCGAACTGCTCCCTCTGAGGGACCAGCTGCCATGTCGCCAGGTTACTCAAGCAACCCTGCTGAGAGGCCACATGGTGAGGAGCTGAGGCCTCCTGCCAACAGCCCTGTGAGGGTACCATGGTGGAAGCGGGTTCCCCAGCCCCAGTCAAGCCTTCAGATGATGGCAGCCCAGGGCTGTCTCCACAGGAGCTGATGAGAGATCCAAGCCAGAAGCACACCAGTAAGGCACTTCCAGATTCCTGACCTGCACTGTGAGGTGATGTTTATTGTTTTAACCTGCTAAGATTTTTAAAAATATATTTTAATATATATTTTTGTTGATTTCAGAGAGGAAGGGAGAGGGAGAGAGAGATAGAAACATCAACGATGAGAGAGAATCATTGATTGACTTTCTCCTGCACCCTCACTGGAGATGGAGCCTAAAACCCAGGCATGTGCCCTGACTGGGAATCCAACCAGTGACCTCTTGGTTCATGGGTGGACAAGCCAACTACTGAGCAACACCAGCCAGACTAATATTTTTTTTTATGTTTTGAATTTTGGGGGGAATCTGCAATACAGCAATAAACAGCTAATACAAAAATACCCCCAAGTAATCATCACTGTTTATATGATCATAAAGAATTTTCCCAGACAATTCTATACAGCAAACAGTACTTTAAAAAAAAAACAACCAAAAACAAAAACAAAAAACTATACTACAGGGTAGAGGTGGAGGGGAGAGCAATGGTAGAAATGCATGGTACAACCGATATTCATCCAGTCCACCCAGTCACCCTCCTTCCCCTTTGTTTTCATGACACTTGTCACCTAAGTTACATTACTCTGCTTGTCTGTGTCTTCTTCCCACCAGACGATAAGCTCTGTGAGCACAGGGAGCCCACCGACTACTTACTTAGAATAGCGTCTTGCACATAATTGACAGTCAATAAATGCAGCAATAGAGAACTAATCGACTAATATACTCTGCCCAAATCTTCTGTCTCCCACACACTTGTAACTACCCCTTCGACACCAACCCCGGCCTTAAGTATCTCAGCCAAAACCCACCACAGTCCCTAACACCTCATGGCCGAGCAGCACGAGTCTGGAGCCGGGAAGACAGCAGTAATGGTTTGTAACACTTCCCTCTTCCCTCCTGCAAGCCCTCCAATCCGGTGGCCCGTCAGCTGTCTCCACGCTCCAGGCACCTCCAGCACGAAAGCTCTGTGATTCCCAGAAACGGTTGTTGCATCCCACACAACCGTTCCACGGTCCCAGAGGACTTCACCGTCCTGGGATTTTACCTTGCTTATTAACTGGAATCAGCATTCTTTTCCGACCAACCAATGGACTAGTTCCAAGGAGACAATTTCTTTCCTAACAAGGTTCAAATCCTCTAGGAGTTTCCTCAGCCATGGACCGAGTTTACTCGTCAATCTACTTGGCACACCATCTAGCCCAGTGGTCGGCAAACCGAGGCTCTTTGGCCCCTTGAGTGTTCTAACGCCACTTCTTCAAAATAGGACTCGCCCAGGCAGAAAACCCTCTTCTGCGCATGGGCCACGAAGTTTCAATTGCACTGGACATGCGCGCCCGCACATGGTATTTTGTGGAAGAGCCACACTCAAGGGGCCAAAGAGCTGCATGTGGCTTGAGAGCCACTGTTTGCTGATCACTGACCTAACCAATGGGTGGGAGACACGTGGTTCTGGAAAACCTTTTTTTTTTTTTTTTTTTTTTTTTGTAATTGGATAGAATTCTCAAGGTATTTACGGAGAGGAATCTTTTAATCAAGTGAAATCCTTCCCTCAATATCTCAGGGAGGCAAGGTAGACATCAAGTCACTGAAGTATACCGGGGTGGGCAAAAGTAGGTTTACAGTTGTAATGCGAATAAATAATACAAAAATTGATAAATAATAATAACACAAGAATAAACTCTTGCACATACACAGGTAAACCTGTGTGTCACCCACACTGTGTCTATTTTACCTTCCTGCATGTCCAGTTTGTTCTCTGCTCTCCTGCCCCCGGCCCATCCTTCGCCCTTGTCTAGACGATGCAGTGGCTCCTCATATTCTATCTCCACCTCCTCCAACTCACACAGCAGCAGGAGAATTTGCAGAATGCAACTCTGAACCCATTCCTCTCCACCTAAAATCTCAGGGAGCTTTCCCACTGCTCTCAGGAGAAATACAGACCCCACACGATGGCGCATCAGGGACTGTTCACCCTGGTGCACTCCACCGCCGCCAGCATCCTGCAGCCAATCCCCAGCCCCACTGCCATCCTTCCTAGGGTGCTCCCCCGCCCCGCCCTGCCACCCGGGCTCTCTGCACAACCAGGAAAGCTCTTCCAAAGCCTCTTCACCTAACCCCTTTCCCTTCAGACCTCAGCTCCAAGATGCTGTCTGGACTGGGTGATCCCCTGCCACATGCTCCCTTAGCTCTGTGGGTCCCTGCATTGTGGTCTCATCACAGCCGCAAGTTTCCGCTTGTTTCTCTGTTATTGGACTAATGTCTGTCTCCGGGTGAGCATACAGACTGTAAGCTCCAGGAGGGCAGGGAGCTCATGGATTTTCTCCCGGCTGCATTCCCAGTGTCAGCACCAATTAGGTGCTCAGTACTCATGCTGAATGAATGAATGAATGAATGATCAATCAATGAGCAGAGATCTGCCTCTACCTGATCTCTGAGTCCCACACGCTCTCCTCAGGCTTGACCCTCATGATTCCTTCCAGGCCCTTGGCACTTCCCTACCTCCATCGCTGCCCCCGTCCCTCCCATCGCCTCTGTCCTTTAAAGCCGGGGATTGGAGTCCCCTCTGAGAGGACTTCCCAGAGCCACCAGCCCAAAGGGGTTCCTCCCTGGTCTGTTTCCCTCTCGGGCATGGGCTCTGCACCTTCACCCTTGTTTCCGTGGCGTGTCCCCAGAAGGCAGGGGTTTTTGTCTTATTTTTTTAAAAATATATTTTATTGATTTTGTACAGAGAGGAAGGGAGAGAGATAGAGAGTTAGAAACATCGATGAGAGAGAGTCATCGATCAGCTGCCTCTTGCACACCCTCTACTGGGGATATGCCCGCAACCAAGGTACATGCCCTTGACCGGAATCTAACCCGGGACCTTTCAGTTCCCAAGCCGACGCTCTATCCATTGAGCCAAACTGGTTTCGGCAGGGGGGGCGGGTTGTCTTGTTCGTCTTTTTACTTCCCTGTCCCAGGGGCTCCTTGAGCCAACTGACCTTTGATGGGGCCCAGATCCAAGGAGTGTACGGGGCTTCAGCTTTGAGGGGAGGGGAAATGCCAGAGAAGTAATTAAAGAGAGAAAGAGAGAGAGAGAGAGAGAGAGAGAGAGAGAGAGAGAGAGAGAGAGAGAGAGCGCGCGCTTGAAAGTAAAACCTTGAGAAGCCCAAGGCCAGCAGGCTGGCCTCCCTTACAAAGCCTGGCACCGAGTCTGCATTCAGTGTGGACTGAATAAAGGGCAGAATGAGTGAAAAGTCCACAGCCTCGAAGCTCCTGGGGGGTACTCCTGGCAGCCGAGCTGAGCAGAGAGATGCTAATGGGTTCGGGCCACCAAAGCCAATTCTTCCAGGAAACCCAGAGCAGCAGCCCTGCCTGGGACAGCCAGCGTCTGCTTCCCGTTTTGGAAGCCCCCAGGTGGCTTCCTCTTCCCAAGGGTTCATTACTCAAACGCTCCATCGTGCAGGGAGAGGTGTCTCTGCCCGTGGTGAGCCATCGGTCTCATGACTTGCTGGTCACCATGCATGTAGTGAGGTCCCTACAACCGAATGCCGGCACCTCCCCAGGGCCAGCCTCCCACTTAGAGGAATGTCTACAGGGCGCCTGGTGAAGAAGTGGCTCCCGGGCTCTGCAAAAGGTTCTTCTGGATCAGAGGCCCTGCTCTCAACAGCCAGAAGCAGAAGGACACTCGGACCCTCCTCACCCTCAGCAAAAGCAGTGTTTATGGGGCGCCAGTCTCCTTGAAAACGCCCACTCTGAGTTGATAAAGACTTAATAAGTGTGTGCACACAAACACATACACACACACACACACTCGTGTGTGTGAACGCACACACATGCACATACACATGGGCAACAGAGACAGTTCCCATTACCTTCCTCCTCCTCAGATCACACCCCCTGGGGACAGCTGGCCGCGAGGCCAGAGGACCATCTGGAAGGAGACTGCAGCCCCAGAGCAGGACGCAGACCCTCTGGGTTCCAGGGAAGCAAGATGCCAACCTGCCCACACCATCCCTCGCGCCTCCTCGGCGCTGTGGCATCTCTGGCGGCTCTCTTCCGGCCCCCCATCCCTCCCAGCTGGGAGTCACCCCTCCCAGCTCCCGCTGCCACCGAGCAGTCTTACTTCTTCACTTTCGGGTACTTCATCTCTGCAATGGCGTTGGTGGCTTCCATCTGCTTCTCCTTCAAGTGCTGCGGCCACATGTTGTCCACCCAGTCCACCAGGTCTACCTGAAAGCCAGACCCCCGTCAGCACTTGCTGGGCTCCCAAATCACCCAGCCCCTTCCTCCTGTCCCCAGCATTCCCTTCACCATCCCCCAGGCCGGCGGCGGGAGCAGGGCGAGCAGGGCGAGGGCAGGGGTGGAGGGTGTCCGGAGGAAACCGCGGCCAGGGGCCTACCTACCACAGTGGGACGCTTGACCAGGTGCTCCAGCTTGGTGTGGCTGAACTCCAGGCTGATGACGTTGTACAGCTTGTCCCGCTGAGCCTCCGGCGTCTCGTAGTATCGCACAAACTGGGACATGCTCATCTCCGTGCCCTTCTGAGTGTTCACATCCATCACGTCCACCAGCCGCCGGCTGCCTGGGGGCAGAATCCACACGCTGGTAGCTCGTGCCGCCGGGGGGCCAGATCCTCCTTGGGAGTCCCATAAAACACAACGTCCTCCTCCTCCAGGGTCCCCCCTATACGCCTCCCCCTCACGCCATGTCCATTGCCCTTAGGGAACCTTTCCAATCCATCTGCTTCCTCCACCACCACCGCTCCTCTCTAGTCCAGTCCACCATTGCTGCTGTCTTCCATCTACACCGATACCGCTGCCAGTATGAGCTTTTAAGACAGACCATGGACACTCTTCTCTTTGCTTAAACCCATCAGAGAGGGTTCCCCACGGCCAACCAAATAATCCTTGGCAGGACACTCAAGGCCTTCCTGTCTATTTAAGGACAGGACTTAACCAGATAATTAAGTGTTTAGTGGTCCCCCTGCCTGGTCTGTGAGGCCAAGAACGTTACTTCACTTCTCTGAACAGCCATGTCTTCCTCTTCCTCTGCCATCTCTCCTCATTAGCTGGTTGTGAGGATTATACCAGACGATGATTGCAGAAGTTCTCGGCACTGTGTCTGGCACATAAATGAATGGGTCCCTCTGTGACTCCCTGGCACAAATCACAATTCTTTTTTTTTTCCTTCTTCTTTTCTTTTTTTTTTAATATATTTTATTGATTTTTAACAGAGAAAGGGAGAGAGAGATAGAGAGCTAGAAACGTCGATGAGAGAGAAACATCGACCAGCTGGCCTCTTGCACACCCCCTACCGGGGATGTGCCTGCAACCAAGGTACATGCCCTTGACCGGAATCAAACCTGGGACTTTTCAGTCCGCAGACCGACGCTCTACCACTGAGCCAAACCGGATTCGGCCGAATCACAATTCTTAAATTCGTTTCTTTGTCTGCTCTTTCTTCCCTACTACTCGGCAATCATCATGAGGGTAGGAGTCTTATCTGTCTTGTTCACATCTTTTTTATTTTTAAAATATATATTTTATTGACTTTTTACAGAGAGGAAGGGAGAGGGATAGAGAGTTAAAAACATCGATGAGAGAAAAACATGAATCAGCTGCCTACCACACACTCCTACTGAGGATGTGCCGGCAACCAAGATACATGCCCTTGACTGGAATCGAACCTGGGGCCTTTCAGTCTGCAAGATGACGTTCTATCCACTGAGCCAAACCCGTTAGGGTTCTAGTTCACATCTTTACCCCCTGTATCTAGGGAACTTGGCACCCAGTTTATTTTGGAGCACATAAACAAGAATGCAGGCTGTCCTGCACAGCATGTTACGCGTGCCTTCTCCCATGAATGACGGAACTCCAGAGAGTACATGCCCCTCCTTAGCAGTAAGCTCCAGGAGAGAGGGGGACAAGCTCTGAATTAGGAGACAGGGCCACTGCTGCTAGCCCTGGGGCCACCACTGGCCACAAACACTAAGGAAATTATGACCCTTCCAGGGACTCTACTTCCCCATCTGTAAAATGGGAATCCCAGCCAAGGCAGAAGCAACAACTGAAGCTAAATGGGCATACTTTGAAGGGGAGAAAGAGACAAAGCAGACTGCCAACTTCATGCGGCTTTAGGGCAAAAGCTCATACCTCCTGTCTGCTAGCACTGCAATGAGAAGCCCACTGTTGGCGGTGACAAATATACGGTCTTTGAAGACTTAGAAATGTGACAACCAGAGGAGAAAAACCATGTTCAAAGCTACCCCGAGAATTAAGACTAAACTAAGCAACAAATGGGCCGGCCAATGATTCCTGTGTGGCCCACAATCAATCATTTTGTGATGTGAAAATTAGATGAAATTCAAATTTCTGGGTCCCTATATGGAGTTTTATGGGCACACAGTCCCCCACGCATTGATTCACATATCTCCGACTGTTCCCGAGCTGCAACGGCCGGGCACAGCCTGAAATACATACTACTTACTCTCTGGCTCTTTACAGAGAATGTTTGCAGTCCCTTGAACTAGACAAAAACCCTCATGGAGCTTAACTCTGATGTGCATATTATTCCTATCTGTTCACTGCTGCAAACACAGCTCTCTGCACACAAAGTCTGGCCCATGACAGGCCTGTAGTCAGTGTTTGTTGAATAAATCTGTAGTGCCTTTCACCTGGTTGGAAGGGAATAATAAAAGTAATGCCTTAAGCCCCGGTGCGGCTCAGGTGATTGGGCATTGTCAACTGGAAGGCTGCAGGTTCAATTCCCAGTCAGGGCACGTGTCCATGTTGCAGGTTCAATCCCCACCTGGGGGCGTGCAGGAAGCAGCCCATCCATGTTCCACTCTCAAATAGATGATTCTCTTTCTCTCTCCCTCTCTCTGTAAAAAATCAATAGGAATATTTTTTTAAAAAGAGTAATATGCCGAAACCGGTTTGGCTCAATGGATAGAGCGTCCGCCTGCGGACTGAAGGGTCCCAGGTTCGATTCCGGTCAGGGACATGTACCTTGGTTGCGGGCACATCCCAAGTGGGGTGTGTGCAAGAGACAGCTGATCAATGATTATCTCTCATTGATGTTTCTAACTCTATCCCTCTCTCTTCCTCTCTGTAAAAAGTCAATAAAATATATTTTAAAATAAAATAAAATAATAAAAAAGAGTAATGCCTTAAGCGCGTAAAAGAACTTGGGGGTTACTATCTTTTGCATTTAACATCTAGATTTCACAACCACCCCAGAAGCTAATTAGGACTGTTCCTGTCTTACTAATGAGGGAACCAAGGTCTGGAGACGGATGTGATTGGCTCAAGTTCCCCCAGAACCGTGGTCGGCAAACTGCGGCTCACGAGCCACATGCGGCTCTTTGGCCCCTTGAGTGTGGCTCTTCCACAAAATACCATGGCCTGGGCGAGTCTATTTTGAAGAAGTGGCGTTAGGAGAAGTTTAAGTTTAAAAAATTTGGCTCTCAAAAGAAATTTCAATCGTTGTACTGTTGTTATTTGGCTCTGTTGACTAATGAGTTTGCCAACCACTGCCCCAGAACATACTCTTTCTACTAATTGGAATAGTTAATATTTAATGAGCACGCCAGCACAGGCAACCTCTCTACACAGGTTATCTTAAGTTAATTAAGATAAAAGTTCTGCAAGGTGGAACTTCAATTATACCCATTTGATGGAGGAGACACTGAGACTTGGATAACTAACTTGTCCCAAAATGCCCCGTTAGCGAGCAGCAGAGGTGGGATTTGAACCCAATTCTATAGAATGCTCACCCCCGCCCAACCCATCCCCAGCCCATCCTATGCAACACTGAATCACTAGCTGAGCCTGAAAAGTGATCTGGTCTCCTTCAGTGGCTGGCTCCAGGCGCCCAGAGATCCTGGGAAGGCTGGGAGAAGAGCATTATTTCTGCGCTGGGAGTGCAGATCCACCAGGGGGCATCCCTGAACTTTGCTGGAAATTCTGGTTGCTCTTGGCCATGCTGGCTCCTCACCAGGGCTCCTAGGAACAGGTGGGCTCTGCTCAGCTTTTCTGGAAAGTCCACCTGGCAGAGAGCCCGCTGTTAAGAGTCTGGGAGGTGGGAGGCAGAACAGGCCCCCCCAAATCCTTACGGCTCTGCCAGCCTCCCGCCTCCCCGCCTCTCCTCCCTAACCTTGCTCAAGGTCACGCCTGCCTGGGAAGAGGGTTTGCTGGCAGGCACACCCCTAGAGGTTAGAGCAAATCAGCACCGAAGGCCCAGAGCTCAGCTGCCCCTAGCGACACAATGCAGTGAGTAAGCAAAGACTTCCTGGGTTCAAACCTCAGCTGGGCCTCTTAGCTTCTCGGAGGATCAGTTACTTACACCGAGGCAAAAGTGGTAGCTAAGCCCATGAGGCTGTCCTGGGACTGTCTCTTTCTCCCCTCTTCCTCCCCTCCCCTGCTTCCAGTCTCATTGGTTTCTGGGCTCACAGAAACCTGCAACACTTCTGAGCAGTGCCTGCATGTGGATAGGCACACAGGTGGGCACAGCAACCAGCCAATTGCATCTAGAGTTCCGGGGACCCTTTGGTAACACCCTAACTACTGAGCCGCGCCAGCCAGAGCCTGTTCCAGCTCTTTTATCCTCACAGGTGCCTGCCTTGTTCCTCGGTGAGTGAAAGCCCACAGGCGGTCACGGAATGAGGAGTGGGTGTGACCAGGGCACCTGGGGACAGTGCCAAGAGCCCTGGACTGAGTTTCAGTCCCAGGCACCCCGACTTGCCCCTTGCTCTAGGCCTCAACTGCCTGGCGTGTGAACACAGGAAGTAGTTGACCTTTACACTTTATTTTCGGTTGACACTAAACTCTTTCTTCTTCAAACAGAAGCTTCGACAAGAGCCAAATGCATAAACAAAAACAAGAGCTCGGGCTGAAGTGGGTAGGAGGGGGCGGGGGTGCTCAGAATTCACATCCAGATTCTTGGGATTTCCCCTTTGAAAACCACTGCGTTGGGTCATTTGTGGGTCCTCTTCCAGGGCAGCCGCGCTGACTTTTAGCCCAGTTCTTAAATCCCCAGATCAGATCCCTTAAATGTGAAACGGGGGGAGGTAGGAGGCAAAAGAGACCCAGAGGAGTCACTGGGGACACGCGGGGCCTGCCAGTCTCTTTCGGTCTGAGCTGGGGGATTAAGGAACTGGCGCTCCGGCTTCTCAGGTTCCCAGTCAGCTCTGCTCCGGGTGGCAAAGGAGAGCCGGGTACAAGTGCCCTGTCTCTGAGCAGGAAGCCCAGCAAATGCCCGTGGGGACAAAAGGGACAGATCAGTGCTAACATGGAATGCGGTCCTCCGAGCTTTGGGAACAGCAACCCCTGGAACAGGTGACGGGAACAAGCTGCTCTTTGGAGCCTGCAAGGAAGGGGCCCACAGTGCTGGGAGTGGGTTCCAGGAGAAATTTTCCACTTGGGAGCTGTGGGGCCTGGTGTTTCTAAGTAGGCCAACCGCTCAACCCCCTCTCTCTCTCTCTCCCCTCCTCTTCCCCTCCCCTGCTCCCAGTCTCATTGGTTTCTGGGCTCACAGGCTACACACACACTCAACCAATTCCAGCTGCAGGAATTAATCCGTGGCCCCCTGGCCCCGCTTTGAAGGCTCCATCAGTCAGTTCTAAGAGTCACAGGCTCAGAGCCGGAGAGAAGCTTCAAGGTGACCTTGAACACTAATAGGAAGCACACATGGGCCCTGACCCCAAACTCCCCCCAGCCTGCTTTTCAGAGACTGCACGCAACTGGCCCTCTTCATGGTTCTGGAAACTTCTCTATTGTTCTCAAATTTTTTATTTCTTTTGCAGTGCTTTTAAACATACACACACACACACACACACACACACACACACATATATATATATATATATATATATATATATATATATATAATTATTATTATTATTTTTAAGTTCAAAGAGGAAGGGAGAGGGGGAAAGAGAGAGAGATAGAAACATCAATGATGAGCCCAGCTGGGGTGGCTCAGGTTGAACATTAACCTATGAACCAGGAGGTCACTGTTCAATTCCAGGATAGGGCACATACCTGGGTTGTGGGCTTAATCCCCAGTAGGGGGCATGCAGGAGGCAGCAGATTAATGATTCATCACTGATGTTTCTCCCTTTCCCTTCCTCTCTAAAATCAATAAAAAATATATATATTTAAAAAAACAAAACAAAACAAGAGCCCTAACCAATTTGGCTCAGTGGATAGAGTGTCGGCCTGCGGACTGAAAGGTCCCAGGATTGATTCCGGTCAAGGGCACATGTCTAGGTTGTGTGCTCATTCCCCAGTAGGGGGCGTGCAGGGGGCAGCCAATCAATGACTCATCACTGATGTTTCTCTCTCTCCCTCTCCTTTCCTCCCTGAAATCACTAAAAATATATACATTTTTTAAAGTAAGAAACATCAATGATGAGAGAGAGAATCATTGATTGGCTGCCTCAGGCCCCACACTGGGGATCGAGCCTGCATCCCGGACATGTGCCCCGACTGGGAATCAAACTGTGACCTCCTGGTCCATCGGTCGGTGCTCAGCCACTGAGTCACACCAGCCAGGCTGGATTGTTGTTGTTGTTTTAAATTCTCTCCTTGGGAGTCTTTCACAGAGGCAAGAGCACTGGCCGGGGGTCAAATCCCACTCTCCGATTCCCAGCAGTGAGGCCTTGGGTATATCCCTGAGCCTTGCTGGGCCTCAGTCTCCTCATCTGGAAAGTGGAGAGAGAAAGGCCTGCCCTAGTGACTTTCAGTCACGGAAAGCACTTTGTAAACATAAAAGCAAAAGCATGGGCTTTGGAAACACCTAGAGCTGGCTGGGGCGAGGGCCTGGCTTCACTGCCCACCATCTGTGTGGCTGGTTCCCTCTGAGCCCCAGATCCCCCATCTGGAACAGTGAACAGCAGCACTTAATTTATATGATTATTGGTGAGGACCAAATGAGGTCATATGGTAAACATCTAATAAAAGATAGTAGGTGATTATTTCTATAATTAAAAATGAAGAGAACACGTTTAGGGCCAGCTTCGAGGTGGGAAGCCTCGCAGCACTGAGACCTCCCTGGGAAGAGGGTGGCTCTGCCTTAATGGGGAATGGTGTGCTGAGAAGAGTTAGGAATACCCTGCCCCCCAAAACAGGACAGAATTCAAGTTTACCCCAAACCTGCTGTTCCTGGGAACCCTGTAAAGCGGAATCAGCCCTTCTCAGTTGTATTCTCATGATTCAGGTCATCGACATGAACAAGAAATAAAATGGAAAAAGCCAACCATGAAAAATAAATAAATAAATAAATAAATAAATAAATAAATAAATATTGAATGAGGTGATTTATCCTAAAATTTTTTGAAGAAAATGGGCCAGAGAAAGCATCAGTTGGCTTGGGCATCCTCAATAGAGAGAAATACAACAAAGAGACAATATGGGGTTGTTGGGACTGGGGGGGGGGGGCGGGAAGAGAGATAGCTGAAGCCGGTTTGGCTCAGTGGATAGAGCGTCGGCCTGCAGACTGAAAGGTCCCAGGTTCGATTCCTGTCAAGGGTATGTGCCTTGGTTGCGGGCACATCCCCAGTAGGGGGCATGTAAGAGGCAGTTGATCAATGACTCTCTCATTGATGTTTCTAACGATCTCTCCTTTCCTCTCTGTAAAAAATCTATAAAATATATTTTTTTTTAAAGAGAGATATAGATAATATGCACTCAGCTGGTGTGGTTCAGTGGTTGAGCGTTGACCTATGAACCAGGAAATCATGGTTCCCAGTCAGAAAGAGATAATATGCAAGACCCCATTGCTATAGGCCGTCTCAGTCCTCAGTGACCTGGGGAGAGGGCAGGAGGCTGGAAGACAGAGACTGAGATCCCATACTGTCTGGGAGGGGTGGTCTGGCCTCCCCCGTACACCACTCCAAAGCAGACCTCCCATCGGTGGTGGGGGCATGTTCCTATTGCCCGGCAATCCTGGAGAGTGCCTCCTTCCTGGGCTTAGTGCCTGCGGTTCTGCTGGGTGGGGTGTGCTAAGCCATTAGAGCCCATCTAGAGACAGCTGATGGAATGGCTGACTGAGGGGTTGGGGAGGAGGACCCTGAGCTGGTAGGACGGAAGCCTGGAGCTGCTGGGTCCCCAACGTTGCCACCACATGGGGAAAAGCTTGCCAAAGGATGAAGCAGAAAGAAAGAGGAAGCAGGAAGGAAAAATTTGCATCAACTTCTGGAGATCTTCTTGGAGCACCTAGATCAAGACGGGCCTGGAAGGCACCCCTTGAAACTCATTCTGTTTTGCTTAGGCCAGCTGGAGTGACACTTAACCCTTCCGTTACGATGACAAAGGTGCCCCATTGCCGCTCTCTGGATGTGTGTGCGCACTAAGATGGGCATAATAACACCCCATGCCAACCACAATTACAGGCCTCCCTCACGGCGGCTGAGCTCACTATAATATAGCTTTACAAAGCACTTTGATATTCACCAATCGTTTGATCATCACAGAAATGCCAAGAGAGACTGTGCAGGTATGACTAGTCCTGCCTTCTTTGCCAGCCTAGGCTTTCCAAGAGCTGGCAAGGGCACAGGGACCATTGGTTTGCTTCCACGAAGAGAAGAATGAGGCTCAGGGGGAAAAGGCGGCCTGGACACACCAAACCAAGGATTTGAAAATCCCTCAAAAGGGCCAAAAGCCATGTAGTAAGACAGTGATGTTGCCTGAACCCCAGATTTGAGAATCTGGCTTTAATCTTTGTTCATATAAAGAGCATCTCATCTGTCCAATGTCCTGCATTTATAATAAAGAATAATGGGGGCCCTAGCTGGTTTTACTCAGTGGATAGAGCATTGGCCTGCAGACTGAGGGATCCCAGGTTCGATTCCAGCCAAGGGCACATGCCTGGATTGTGGGCTCGATCCCCAGTGGGGGATGTGCTGGAGACAGACAATCAATGATTCTCTCTCATCATTGATGTGTTGCTCTCTCTCTCCCTCTCCCTTCCTCTCTGAAATCAATAAAGAAACATTAAAAAAAAAAAAAAAAAAAAGAGTAACAGGGACCATTAATTGAGCACTCCTCATCGAGCATAATTCTGAGTATGCATTCCTTCTTATAGAGGGTCCTTCCTTGAGGCAGATTCTGCGATTAGCCGATTAGCATCACTTCGCAGATAAGGAAATCGAGGCTTAGGGAGGTTAAGTAGCTTTCCCCAAATCACCCATCAACTACCAGAGTGGGGCCTCAAGCCAGGGCTGTTTAACAGCAAAGGCTGGGGCTGGGGTGAGGCACCAGAGGGGGTTGCCCGGGCCAAGACTTGATTCATGGGGTCCATCATCCCATCATCCCAGCATTTAGTTTGCTCCCTTTTGCTCTGATCTTCACTTCCTTCAGCACTTCTGGAATCCCTGCTTTTTAAAAAATCTATTTGTTGTTGTTTATTTTTTCCCATCACCACTAATCCCCCCTATATAAAAATCTGTCCTTTGAGCAAGCCCTTGCCAATTAATCGAGATCCTTCTGTCATCATTGCCATCTCCTTCCAGCTGATTCGGCCTCCCTTCTGAGTGTCAGATGACACACTCTGGGATCAATTATTCACGCTGGATTATCTGACACACCCACTGGTCAGCTGTCTTCATCCTCCACGCAGCCCCCAGAGTGGGCTCTTACAAAACTTCAATCAGATCACACCACTTCACACCCTCTAGGATGGCTCTCATCAAAAAGATAGACACTGACAAGTGTTGGCGAAGATGTGGAGAAATTGGAACCCTCATGCTTTGCCAATAGGAATGTAAAATGGTGCAGCTGCTTTGAAAAACAGTCTGGCAGTTTCTCAGAAGGTTAAATATAGTTACAGAATGACCCAGCGATTCCATTCTTAGCTAAATACCCAAGAGAAAGAAAACCGTTTGTCCAAACAACACTTGTACATGAATATTCATGGAAGCATCATAATAGCTAAGAACGAGAAATAACCAACATGCCCACCAACTGAAGAATGGACAAACAAAATGTGGTCAGCCCATACAATGGAATATTATTCAGTCATGAAAAGGAGTAAGTACGGACATTGGCTACAATGTTTATGTACCGTGACAACATGATGCTCAGAGAAAGAAGCTGGACACAAAGGAACACATATTATATGATTCCACTCATAGGAGATGTCCAAATAGATAAACCCATAGAGGCAAAAAGCAGAGGCAGAGAGGAATTAGGCGGTAAAGGGGTTATTTTGTGGGGGACAGAAATGTTCTGAAATAAGGTTGTGGTGATGGCTGCACAACACTGTGGATATCCTGCAAGCCACTGGATCGCACACTCCCACTTTTATGGTATGGAGATTTTATCTCAATATTTAGAAAAATGTTTGACCCTATATGAACCTGACCCTGTGATCTCTCTCTTCTCATGCTACGTTCCCCCTCGCTCTTTCTGTTCCACCCACACTTCCTGACCTTTGCCTTTGCTCATCCTACAGTCTAGAAAGTTCTTTCCCACAGCTGGCTTCTCATCAGTCAGATCTCTGTCCAAATGTCTTCACATTACCACTACCCAGGCCCTCCATGAATACCCCCCAACCTACAACACCATCATATAGGCCCTGGCCAGGTAGCTCAGTTGGTTAGAGCATCGTCCCAATATCCCCAGTCAGGGCACATACAAAAAACAACCAATGAATGCATAAATAAATGGCACAACAAATCAATCTCTCTCTCACTAAAATTAATAAATTTTTTAAAATTTTAAAGAAGCACCATCATGCTTCATCTCATTACTCTGATTTACTCCTCCTTGGACTTTGTCACCCTTCAAATGATACATATATTTTTTTAATATATTTTATTGATTTTTTACAGAAAGGAAGGGAGAGGGATAGTTAGAAACATCAACGTGAGAGAAACATTGATCAGCTGCCTCCTGCACACCCCTCACTGGGGATGTGCCCACAACCAAGATACATGCCCCTGACCGGAATCGAACCCGGGACCCTTCAGTCCGCAGACCGACGCTCTACCACTGAGCCAAACCGGTTTCGGCAAATGATACATATTTTTAAAAACAGTTGATTTCTGAAAAAATGTCCATACAAGTTATTAAAAAAACAAACAAAAAACTGTTGACTTCTTTATTGCCCATCACTCCGGCCACGAGGCAGTGATCCTCTCTGTCATGAATTTTCCTACAGCTCTGAACTTGCCTGCCATGTCGGAGCTACTGGAGAGACACTGTCTGGGAAGGATGGACTTATCGAACGGCTTCCTGTGAGATCTGAAATGCCGCCTGCCGCCTGGTCTACCGGGAGCTGGGAGCTCCCCGTGAGCAGTCACCCACCCACAGGTGCTCAGGGCACTCATCGGCATGTGCTGGGCAATCAGTGGCCAGCCTGCCCCAGGCCTGCCTGGAGCCCCGAGGAAGCAGGAAAGAAAGAACAATCCGTCCTCTGGAAAGTCTGAAAGTCTCCCAGGGGTCATAAAGCCTGCCGAAAGTGACCCTGCGACTCCTCAGCAAACTCAGAGGAGAGATCTAAGGTTGGGTCGCTGACACCCAAGCTGGAGGCTAGGGTCAAACTGCGAGCTGGCAAACACCCTCGGATCCAGCTTCTCAGGACTTTGCAATCTGACCTGTTCCCCACGATGACGCGGGTGCAGCTCACACCTGCTCCTGCCTCCTCCCGCAGGGACTTTGTTGTCAGAGGCAGTTAAAACCTAAGCAGGCAGCTGGTCAGGCCGCCTTCCCTCCCCCCCCCCCCCCCCCTACTTCAGCCACGCGGAGCCACACACAGCAAGCAACTTACCCACTAGGAGTTTGACATCTCGGACTGTGAAGTCAGAGTCAGGCATCCTAGAAAATGAGGAGCAGACGTTGATGAGAAGCCTGAACCCAGAGTTCAACCCAATTCTGGGGGCAAGGGAACTTGTTCTCATTTTTTAAAAATATTTTTATTGATTTCAGAGAGGAACAGAGAGGGAGGAGAGAGAGAGAGAGAGAGAGAGAGAGAGAGAGAGAGAGAGAGAGAGAGAGAGAGAGAGAGAGAGAGAGAGAGAGAGAGAGAAACATCCATGATGAGAGAGAATCATTGATTGGCTGCCTCCTGTATGCCACCTGCTGGGAATTGAGCTTACAACCCAGGTATGTGGCCTTGCTGGAAATCAAACCCGGGACCATTTAGTCCACAGGCCAATGCTCTAGCCACTGAGCCAGTGGTCGGCAAACTCATTAGTCAACAGAGCAGCAAACCTCGGCTTGAGAGCCAAAGTTTGCCGACCACTGCACTAAGCCAAACCGGCTAGAGCTTGCTCTCATTTTTTAAAAATATTTTTTTAATGATCTCAGAAAGGAAGGGAGAGAGATAGAAACATCAATGATGAGAGAGAATCATTGATCGGCTGCTTCCTGCATTCCCCATACTGCCTGCCTGGGAATCAAACCGTGACTTCCTGATTTCATAGGTTGATACTCAAACCACTGAGCCACCCCGGCTGGGTCCTTGCTCTCATTTGGGGAACCCAAACTGAGATAATCCAGAGAGAAGGTGATTGACCAGCCCCTTCTCAAACCGATGGGCAAACCAAGCACGCACACTCTCCCTGACTCCTGAACTCACATTGCTACAGAAAAGAGGGAATATCCACTGTCCACCCACTTTTCCAGGGACGTCTGAGGGTAGTGTCAAGGGTAAGAGCCAGAGCTGGGCATTCAAACACATGTTTCTTTTACTGTGGGTGCCCCTCTCTTTGTGTCTCCCTCTAAAAAATATTCTGCATAATGAGAGTGGAAGGGATCCCTCTGAGCTTAGAGGGTGGGCAACTTCAGGGATAATGCAAGAGGGCGATGATGATTATGGTGACATTCACTATTAATTAACAATGATGCTGCAGGTTTCATGTCTATCCATAGGAATGAGAGGCTTGAGCAAGTCTGGTAGCCGTAGCTTTCTGCCTGCCGGAGAGGGCAGCAGGCTGAGATGACACCCTCAGCCTCCTCCCCATCCCTGCCCCAAGGGCGGGCGGAAACCTGTTCTTCCAGGCCGCCTCCCAGATGTCTCCGCGCCTGGAGCTCTGACAGGTCTCCAGGAGAGAGTAAACCAAACAATCCCAGTGAGGAGGCAGGTGCTGGGCAGGCTCAGAAAGGGGAAGACAGGGGCCTAGTGTCCTAGGAACCCTTTTAAACAGACCGATTCCCACGCAGTGACCGTCTGAGTAGAAGCATGTAGCCAGTGCCCTGCTGGTGTGGTGCGGCGGGTGAGCACCAAACCATGGATCAGTCACCGGTTTGATTCCCAGTCAGGGCACAGGCCTGGGTTGTGGGCTGGATTCCCCCAGTGGGGGTTGTGCAGGAGGCAACCCATCAATGTTTCTCTGTCACTGATGTTTCTATCCCTCTTCTTTCCTCTCTGTCTAGTAATCAATAAAAACATATTAAAAAAAAAAAAAAAAAAAGATATATGTACCCAGGTGCCCTGCCTGGGGCCTAGCGGCTGGCCAATCCTTCCCAGTCCAGGCCCTGCCTCAGTTCCCTTTTTGGGGCAGGAGGCACACTCTCTTTAAGGAAGTCGCTGTATGTTAACTGGGGTGGATCAGGGGGACAAATCAACACTGTCTGAGCACCCTACATCCTCTTTTCCCGACTTCTCTGAAAAAGACCAATCTTTAGAGAGATTTTTCCCCCCTTTGTCAGGTCTTGCACAAAGAGATACTATACCCCCCCAGATAATGAAGAAAGAGCCTTCCTCGTTTTGAAAGATGGATGGAGCAAATGCTACAAGAAATCCATCCCAAGGTATAGAAACTGTGTTAGGGAGGGAGAGATTGGGGTGAGGAGCGGGGAGAGCAATTCGTTTCAGCAGCAACTTACTTAATTCCCAGTCCATCCTTCTCTCGAAATATCAAGGGAACCCTGAGAGCTTCTCTCTGCACGTACTCATAGTTGAAATCTGTTTGGATATTGGAATTAAAACAAGCTGGTGAAGTCATGAAGGAGCAAAAGAACCACAGGCAACTGGTTAAGAGAAGAAAAAAAAAAAAAATGATGGAGGAAGGGGCAGGGGTTACCCTAGAGGCAGACACCAGCTCCTGGAAAAATGACAGGGAAATGGATTAAGCAAAGTCTGGGAGAAGCCATGCCAACTATCAGCTCCTCTGCCTACTCAGTCATTCCCGGCATGCCCCATGGGTCAGAACTTGTCAATGAATAGCTCACGGATGGCGAGGGATGGGGAGGGAGCCTCATGAAAGAGCCCCACACAGGAGCCCTGGCTCGTTGCTGAGAAAGAGGGACAGAGCAGCTCATCCCCAGCAGAGCTCAGAAAGCAAAGGGCCTGCGAAATTGAAGAACGCCACCTGGGAGGATCTGAAGGCCCAGAGAGTAGGCTGGAGAAGGATTCTCATTGTCGCTGAGCATCGGGGAAGGTCTTATTGTAATATGCTGTATAGTGAAGGGGGGGGGGGGGAGTCGGTTTCCCTGGAAACTGTGTACTCGGTGCCAAAATAACCAGGGAACCGGGCACAGCTTTGTTGCCTTCACAGTGAAATTCTGCTGCAGCATCGCAACGCTGGCTCCCACTGGATAGCCAGAGGGATGCTCCCCAGGTGAAGGCCGTGCGACGGGGACGCGGAGAGACCCCGAGAACATTCACAGCAGTTTTCCATCTGAGGTTCGCCTAGTGCAGACCCCCAGATCCTCACCCCAGCTCTGGAGGTGAGGGAGGCTGAGATAAACTCTCCCATCCCACATCCTCGGGGCAGGGAAGCAGCCGCAGGGGCCCGGGGCCCCCCCTGGCCCATGGGAAGGGGGGCAGGAGGGCTCTGGGTCACAGGAGCGCCTGCCCCAGGGAGACGGTTCGCAGAGGCCACTCGGAGGGGGAGGAGGCCACGGCGGCTCAGCTCGGAAGCGAGGGAGAGAACAAAACCGGAGCTGGGGAAAGCCCTGACCTTAGCAGCTCGGATCCCCAGGGGCTCAGAGTGAATGGGGATTCCTGAGGATTTAAAGGCAGAGAAGTTTAAGAAGCTTCTATTTTGAATCCAGGCTAAGGGCGCCTTCTGTCCCGCAGCTCCTCCCCCCTGCGTTTCGGGGGCCAGATCTGAATGAACTACCGAAACCCTAGGGCCCTCTCCTTTGAGAGGCGCTTGGACAGCAGATTCAAGGCATCTCTCTGCCTTTGCTGGAACCCCGTCCTCTTTGTGGACAACCCCCCCAAGCCCACCCGTGGGGGCAGCTTCAGCTTCCTTCAACAGGCCAGAGACCCCGGACAGAGAATGCCTCACAAATACATGACTGCGAAGAGTTTGCCTACTGTTTCCTCATAGGATCCGCCAGCTCCTCAGAGCCAGGGGCGGGGGAGAAAGGAGAGGAATTAAAATCCCATTTGTGCTAAGGAAATTCAAATGAAGTTGAGAATGGCTCCTGGGTTGCAAAGATGCCCAGGAAAACCAGGCGGGCTGCAGAAATTCCTGCCCACCCCCACCCCGCCCTGCAACTCCCCCTTCCTACGGAAGCCCAGCGCCCCAGGAAACAGCGGGCACAAAAGAGAAACTTCAAAATGCAAAGCCTGGACAGTCTCTCCAGAGGCTAACCCCACAGGCAAGCCACTCAAGCGGAACCTGGGGGGCGGGAGGGCGTCTCAGCTATCAGCTCACTGAGGGACGGATGGAACGGGTTTCCAGGGGGATGGGGGACAAACAACGTGGACACGGAGTGATAGAAAAGGAACTCGGATCTCTGAAAGGGGGAGGACAAATTCACAAACCCCGGGAGAGCAGAGGGAGGTGGATGCCTAGGTAAGGCAAGGACACCTTCACAATACCGACCCCACAGGGCTCTGGAGGCCTCAGACCCTAACCAGAGCATCACCCCAACGCCCAGAGGGCATCCTCAGCCAGACACCTTCCTGGTACCAGGCTGGGGGGCACCCCAAAATCCTAGAGGCTTCCCCAACTTCTGCTTTAAACTGGCAGGGCTCTCAAGAGGGCCAGAGTTCTCAAGGTGTCAGGCCCCAGAAGACACCCCGTATCCTAGAGGGGTTGCCCCAAGTTTAAAGGGCCAGGGAGCAGGGAGCTCAGCCTTAAGCCAGAGGGTTGTCACTCCCGCACCCCTAGTCCCCACTTCAAACTGTCAGGGCTGCAGGGCTAGAGGCCTCGGGCCTAAGTGGGGGCTCCGCCCAACACCTTAGGGAGTCCACCGGAACCCTGCTCCAATCTGGCACAGCCCCCCCTCTCCCAGGCGATGGGGTTCCGTAGACCCCAGGCCTGAGGAGGCCCCTCGTTCAATGCTCCCTGAGGGCCCCCAGCGCCAGTTCCTAACGGGCCATAGCCAGGGTTTGGGAGGCTTCAGGCTTTGGGGGGCCCCTCGCCCCCAGTCAGACTTCCCCAGCCGGGCAGCGCGCAAAGAGCCGGGCCGGCTCCGGAAGGGGCAGCCAGCGACGCACCCGCCTCCCCTGTGTCCGCCCATCCGTCCGTCCCCAGGTCCCTCTGCCGGCCGGACCCCTGCCTCTGCCCACCCTGGGACTGGAGGTGGGCGCGGGCCGGGCCTAGGCCCACGGCCGGCCCCGGTTCTCGTCCCCCGCCCTCCTCTCTTGCCACCCCCCTACCCCACCCCCCCAAGTGCTCGGCCTCGTGTCGTCACCGGATCCCCTGGAACGGGGGACGCGGGCGCGAAATACGAACCGGGCCGCCGGCAGCTCCCTCCCCACGTGCGCGCGGCCCGCGGCGCGGAGGGCGCGGGGCGGGGGCCTCACCTTTGCCCTCCATGGCGAGCACGAAGTCCCCCTGGTACAGCGGGCTGCGCAGCTTCTCCTCCAGGCTGAAGCCGCGGGCGCTCACGATCTCCTCCACGTCCGACACGTCCTCGTTCTCGTCGTACCGCTGGCGGTCAATCGGGCGCTGCGGGGGGACACCCAAGCCAGAGAGAGAGCCCCGGGGACGTTACTGGGGGGTCCTGGGGGGGTGTCGCCTCTCCCCAAGGGGCCTGGCTCCAACAGGTGCAGAAGCCGCGCATCCCCTGCACCCCACCGCTGCCACCCACCCGAGCAACTTGGCGCAGATGCCCAAGATGCTGGAAACGGGGATCAGGAGAGGGGCCGCACCCCCAGGGTCTGCCTGCCTGCGCCCTACACAGACAGGGCATTCCCCTCCGGCATCTTTGGAGGCCGTGGAAGGGGGCATCTGGGGCTCTCCCTTGCCCCCCCCAACCCCCACTCCCGAGAGGGGGTGAGTCTTGCCCACTCGGCCGGGAGGGAGCCTGGTTATGTAACCGGCGAGGGGGGCTCGGCGCCCGGGCCGGCGGGGCGTTGCTAGGCCCCGGGTGGAGCCCGGCGGCGCCCGGCTCGGCGCTCACAGCAGCCCGGCGGCCGCGGCGGCGGAGCCGGGAAGCCGGAACCGGGGCCGGCGGCGGCGGCATTGCTGAGCCTGGAGCCGCCCCCGACCTACCGGGAAAGCTGGGAAGCCGAAATGAAAGGACTGAGACCCCAGCTGCCCCCGCCGACCGCCCTCCGGTGCAAGGAGAAGAGGTGGGAAGGGGGGGCTCTGGGCTGGAGTGGGAGAGAGGCAGCCCGCCCGCCACAAAGCTCCCACCATCCCGAGACCCCAAAACGCACCAGCAGCTGCCTCATCGCCCCATAAGCGCGCGCGCACACTCACTTCCTAAGGAGACTCCCCCGTCCCTCCCCGCATCCTCTGCCTCCTCCTCCCGCCAGCGCCCGGCGCCCGATCCCGCAGCCCCCCGGATCCCGGGCGCACCCCAAGCCCGCGCAGCTCCCCTTCTCCGCCTTTTCCCCGCTACCACCTCGCCCTTGAAGTGTCTGAGACGCTGAGCCTCACAAGGGACTGGAGGAGTAAGCTGCTGGCTTCCTTTTGCATGCAATTTATTATATATATATTTATATTTTCCGGTCCTCTTGCAAAACAGAAAAAGGAAAGGAAAAGACAGCAAGAAACAGCAACAACAACAGCAGCAACAAAAATAGATCTATCCTATGCCAGATACAGATGGGGGGGTTGGGGGGAGAGGGGGAAAGCTACACACCAATCTTCTTCCAGAGTCTTTCTCTGCCTCCATTTTTTTAGGAGAGTTCACCAATTAATTGTCAACACTCCTGCCCCCTGCATTTTGGCGGAGGGGGGTAAGGAGAGGAGACCAAAGAAAACAAATCCCCCCAAAAAATAAAAATAAATAAATAAAGCAAAGTCAGAGCAGCCGAGGTCTGCAAAGTTTTGCACCAACACTTAAGCGGATCCGTTTGCAAAGTCCTAGGAAACCATTTTCAGCAGTTGTAGGGGGGGGGGGGGCGTCGACGTCATAATCCCCGGAACGTAAACATTGTTGCCGATCGCGCTCGGAGCCCGCGGCCGGGCTCGGGGTTGGGGAAGGGGAAAAGGGGGGGGGGGGGGGGCGGCACTCGGCCTGGGACCCGGGGCGGGGGTGAGGGGAGCGGGGGCGGCGGCCGGGAGAGGTTTGGGGCGGGGAGGGCGCCCCGGAGGCACCGGGCGCCGTTAGCGCCCTGGCATCGCTGTTTTGTTGTTGGGTCACGAGTGCGCCTCTGCACGCAGGCGCCGCCGCCGCCGCCGCCGCCGCCGCCGCCGCCGCCGCCGGGGAGTTGTGTGCAGAGCTGACTTTTGGAGGCTGAGTTGCAAGCGGAGGGCGCATCCCGGAGATGGCGGGGCAGGGAGAGAGGAGGAGGAGGAGAGAGGAGGAGGGGGTGGGGGAAGAGGTGCAGATTTGCTCGGCTGGCCTCAGTGGGAGGCACGGAAATGCAAGAAAGAGCAAGCTGGCGCGAAAGCCCCTGGGGCTTGGCACCCCAAAAGATGACCCCTAGCTCAACTCCTGCTCCCCGCCCCCCTCTTGTCCACGGGCGACCCTTCCTCTTCCTTCAGCCACCCCATCCCATTACCTACGGGGCCGAGCGAAATTCAAAGCATTTTTAATATATATATATTTTTTCCTGCTGCAAGTCATTTCTTTTTGGGTGGGGACGATTCTCCTAGACCCTCCCATAGGCGGACCTACCATCAGGAGGAAGATTTGGGGGCTCGGAAAGAAATGAGCACAGCTCCATACCTGTACGAACTGCGTAACTTTTAAACTCCCGGGCTCAAGAGATATGAACACACACACACACACACACACACACACACACACACACGTGCAGGAAATGCAGCCAGACCAGCGCCTTTTCAGATCCGAGCTGACCGGAAGAAGTTGCCTTTCATTCATTCATTCTGCCCGCGCCTGTGGAGTCCTGTGCTTTGCTAAGCGGTGAGCCCTGGAACAGAAGTTGAGAACATTTTTTAAAGGTCCCTGCGCTCGCCAACAGGAGGAAATAGAGGCTCAGGAGTGAAATACCGAGAGAAATGGATCTGGCGCCTCCTAACACAGCTGCAAACAGGCGGAGGGTAAGCCTTTATCGGCCATTTATAAGAGAAAAGTCTGCGGAAAGATGCAAGGCTCTCTGGGGTGTGGGACAGGGAACTCAGGGTCCCCTTGATTAATCCTATAAGGCTTCTCTGCGGAGATATGGGCACCCTCTGTACATCTATGGAGTGTCATTAGACCTGGGTATGCTTCCCTGTCCACACAGACCTGGTTGGCTGTGACCACCCCCAAAGCTGAAATCCTAAATGAACAGTCAGGTCAACTTTGGTTGTGAGAAAAGCTGGCCCTAAACAATCCTCCAGGCCGTGTAGGCCTGATCTTGGGGGTAAATATAACAATTAGATGACACGGGGCTGGAAAATAAGTTAAGGCACTTCATAGATGCTTATAGTACAAATACTTCCCATTCTGTCAGCATTGTATTTTTTCTGCCACCAACCTTGGGTGATTGCTAGGGCAGGTCATTTTGCAGAAAGGGAAACTGAAGCTAAGGGAAGTTATGATTCTGGAGATTGCTCTACCCTCCTATCATCCCCACGTCAACACAGCCATCAGACAGACGTGTGGAGAGGAAGTGGCTTCCCTCCTCAGAGACTGGATGTGCACCATCGGCTCCTATTGGTCACCTGAAGAGACGGCTTCCCACTCACGCACCTTCAAGTTTCCTGCCCTGTCTTTCTGTATTCTCTCCCCACCTCCGCCAAAGACTCCTTAGACGTAACTTTGACCCAAGTCTGCTAGCGGGCAAACATCAAAAACTTTGTTTCACTGTGACTCAGTGGGAGGGAGAAGGGTTTTGCCTTCCGCCTCTAGCGAGAACCAGGGACCATTTTATTTCCTCCTCTCTCGTTAGAACCCTTTAAGGCAAACAGTCTTGTTATTCTGAAGTGCGGCAGCAGTCATCACAACAATTCCTCATTTTGCAAAGGAGGAAGCTTCTACTCAGAAAGGCAAGGCCACTGACCCAAGATCACACAGCTTGTAAGCGGGGTTGCTGGGGCTCAAAGGGGGGCCTCGCACATCACGTGCTTTTTACTGCTCCCACATCATGAAACAAACATGTTCAAAGGAAGGTACATGGACTGGAGGGGTCATGGGGAAAAAAAGGAAAATTGACATAGAAGGCTTGATCTTAATTCTTCTTTTCTCCTCCCCATGTGGCCACATGGGGGTCCCCAAAAAGTGGTATCAGGAAAAGATCCGATGACAAGGCACCTTAGGGTGAAAACAGTTAAGTCCATCTATCACCCCGAGGAGCAGTTCCTGGCTTGTCAGAGTGGGAACGGTTAGAGTAGTTACCTAATTTAATCCCCTCCCTTTACAAACCCCGAGGAAACTGAAGACCAGAGAGAAGAATGGGCCGCCCAGGGGTTTGTTCCCCTCGGACTCCCCCAGAAAGCCTACCCTGCAGCCTGGTCCTAAGTGGTCACTCAATAAACGTTGAGCCCTTGATGGATAACCTTCCGCAGCGATATTTGCATTTTCCCTTTATCAGTAATTGGCAGATGAAAGGCTTTGTCCTACTGTTGAAAGAATTCCAGGCATTTGCTCAAAGTGGGGGAGGTGGCAATTTTGGGCCAAAGGGGGAAGGGCCGAGACCCTTGAGCTCCTGGTGTTGGCTAATTGTCCCAGAGGAGTGGGCAGTAGGTGAGAGAAAGAAGATTAAGGTAATTCTCCAAGAGAAGTACTTTTTCTTGCAGGAAGGAGGGAGGGGTGGGGGGAAGACCAGGCCAGCTATATTTAAAACATCATCATAATGATTTCCTGGACCCTCCTGCTCCTGCTTACAGGAGCCCAGTCAGATTCTGTGTTGGCCCCATTCATTCATTTCTTCATTCATCGAAGGTTGATGGAACAGCTCTGTGATTTAAGACTGGGGGGATAGAAGAACCAGCTCCGATTAGTTAGTTAGGAAGGGGTGATACTGAATGGAACCCTCAGAATTCAGGATTTTCAAACTGCTAGAAATTGAAGCTGTTATCATACTTATATGTAATTACAATCGCTCCTGATCTTGGAGAGCTTACTCTGTCTTTGAGCTAAGCCACTCGCCTTTGCTCTCTCTCTGAATCCTTATCAAAGTTTTGTGAAGGAGGGTCTGTAGTGCCCCCCTTTTAGAGCTGAGGCTCAAAGAGAGTTCAGGCTACTTGCCCACATTTTACAGCTGGGAAATAGCAGGCAGAACTTGAACCCCGAGCTTGTAGGAATCCAGAGCCTATAGGCTTTTTACCACTCTGCCTCTCTGCAGGGCTGTGGATGTAAATGTTTTTTGTCTGTGATCACACAGGAGCCTCTAGCCACATGTGGCTATTGAACCCCGTGTTAAATTTTATTTCATTGTAATTAAGTTTAAATAGTTATATGTATCTATGTCTACCTTATAAGACAGTGCAGATTTCGAGTGTTTCCCAGAATTTGGCACAACTCCCCTACCAGGCTAGGGCATGGTCTGATTTGGCACTGGGTCCCCCATCAACCTTCGGCAAATATTTGTGGAATGAATGAAGAAAATGGAGTATTGTGATGATGAGTTGGGGGGAGGGGCCCAGGGTATCTACAAAGGTTTCCTAGAAGGGGCCATCTGGTACAGTGTGAATGTTTGCAGTGTTAGCCCTTAAACCTCTCACTCTGAGTGCCTGCCGAGAGCATGGCAACATAGGCACCAGGGCATGACAGTTACATACAAGACTGTGCCACCTGCCTGGATCTGACAAACTTCTCAAGAACAGGTAAGGGGTGATGGGGCGGGAAGCCTTAGCATGGGATAACCACTTCCTGATATATTTCCTACTGATAGACTCACACGCAAAGATGCAAGCCATTGTAGCCCTGTTCGAAACAGAAAAAGATTGAAAACAACCTAAAAGTTGGGGAACGGATTAAGTAATTCCTGGGCCATTTGTATGCCCGATGAAATGTTATTAAATCATTAAAATGAATAACGTTGCTCTGTATATACTGATAGGGAAGGAATGGTCTCATAGCCTTATAGCAAAACAAGGTGCAGAATACTAATACTTAATTGTGCTTACCACTTTCGTTAAGCAAGGGGATATAGCTATATCTACATATGTTTTATATGCACAGAATTTTCTTTGGAAAGAAATAGGAAAACACACCCACACATATATATAGTTGGTTGGAGTGTCATCCCACACAACAAAAGGTGGCGGGTTCAATTCCCAGTCAAGGCACATACCCAGATTTCGGTTGGATACTTGGTAGGGGCTTGTGCAGAAGTCAGCTATTCAATATTTCTCTTCCTCTCCTCCCTCTCCCTCTCTATAAAAAATGAAAAAAAATTTTTAAATGGGAAGCCCTAACTAGTTTGGCTCAATGGATAGAGTGTCAGCCACCGAGCTGAAGGGTCCCAGGTTCAATTCCGATCAAAGGTACATGCCTGCGTTGTGGGCTTGGTCCGCAGTGGGGGACGTGCAGGAGTCAGCCAATAAATGATCCTTTCTCATTACTAAAAAAAAAAAAAATTAAATGGGGAAAACAAAAGGGAAGAAAACTTGTTTGGTATAGAATGAAATTTTTACCACATGCATGCATTAGTGTTTCCTGATTTTTGAACCTTACAGACTTATTTCATTTTATATGCTGTAGTACCTTTTGAATTTTGTTCTATGTAAATATGTTGCCTATTCAAAAAGGAATTACATTTTAGTCACCTTTTTTTGATGCTCTAGGGTTCAAAATCAAGCAAATTTAAACCAAATAAATATTGCTTAGCTATATATAGGTAAGTGGTAAAGCATAAATAAATGCAAAGGAGTGATCAACAAAATGCAGGAAAAGACTGAACTCTAGGGATAAATGTGAACAGCAAGAGGTACTAGTAATTTTCTCTTTCTGAATCTATACGGTGGTCACCCTAATATAATTCTTCCTCTCTCTCTCTAAAATCAATGAAAGCATATCCTTGGGTGAGGATTAAAAAAAAATCAGGATAATGTGTATGTTATGATCCCATGTATATTAAAACAAACTGCATATAGA